AATGCCTAGCGGAGAATAATATCTTAGTTTGGACCGCGCCGATTCTGTTTGATTGTTTTCTGCTCGATTGGTTCTCGGAAGAGCCATAACTGATCCATGGTTGTGCTGGAACAACGCCGGTATAGGGGCAGCCGCCGTTTGGCTAACCCTGCGACTTGAGACGGCGGAGAGAGCTACTTGCTGTGGTCGGTTATATGACGAGACACGGCGTGGTTTTGGTGAACTTGTGGTATTTTTCTGGTTTGGAACCTGTCGCTTCGTTTGGAATTTCACCTCCGTGTATGTTCATGCTCCGCGACGCATCCATCAAGACGATTGGCCGACTACCGTTATTCTAGGCGTACTCGCCTAGATCATAGACTACTTCTCGAGTTTGTCTTTCTTTTCCTGAACCGTTAGTTTCGAAGAGGACGAGAACTCACATGCTATATGCGTAGATGTTGTCATCCGTGAACCTCGCTGCGTGACGCTTTTCTTTTCTTCCGTAAAGGCATGCATCACTCCTGCAAGTACTGTGCCATTTACACTTAATAAGGCTACAGCAGCACTAAAGAAGGTCAGCTACTTGTAAACAGATGCATGCCTATTGTTGGTGCTCCAAGGCACATATAATATTGCCCCTGATGTGTGGACGCCGTTGACACGTGTGTGGCTGTTAATGTGACGCCGGTTTTTTTCTCGTCACCGTGGACAATATTGATATTATGTATGGCATACAATAGACGTCTGCTGATTACTATTGTAGACTCCAATTGGTGAGGAATGATATGTTGTCTCATTCCTAAACAATGATAGAGCTGAAATGGGACGGTGCAAGTCATAGAAGTATTGTGCTAGGTTCACAGATATTGTGTCGCTGAGGCCACCTGCTGTTTCGCCCGTTAAATCTCTTTGGTATAAATAGTCGAGGCGCTGAGGGGGCATGCGTAGGGACAAACGCTGTAAAAGGATGAAGTCGATGCGAATAGACATGACGTGGCTGCCACGAGTGAATAAGGGGGTTCGACAAGTTTCGCTTTCGGAGTGACTGCTTCCCCGCCCCCAGTTCTACCAGTAGAAAATTAGCACATCACATAAGTTAGAGTACGTTGCGTAGTCGTCCAGGTAGTGGGCATCCAAGTCTCGAGATGGTTGTTGTCAACGCATAGGAGACTGGCTTTGCGGTTTGTCTGTGATCAGCCATTGTGGCTGTGCCTGGACATTGTCTGAAGAGCTGCTAAGACCTGGCCTTTTTCAGCCCTCAGTTTCCCTGTGCACTCGAGGATACTGTTAAAATAGCTTCACCTGAGAAGTGATGCCTAGATGTGGTGGAGAGCCACGCCGATTGTCATGCGAAAGTAAGCTACGGGTATTGCTGACAGCTCGGCTACAGGTGATGCTGGTAAGCGGACGAGAAAACCTGTCAGCTATGATGCGAACGCAAAATAACTTTGGAAGATGTAGTATCATTGCAACAAGCTCCTAGGGAGGATGTGGCTTCAAACAGCAAATGACAGATCTTCCAGGTATGGCAATAGATCCTAGATAAAGTTAGGTTAGGAGACGTGAGACATTTGGACCGACTCTCGTATTGTATTCAGTCTAGGCTGTTCCGTTCACGAGAGATTGCTTTAAGGCTTGTATTCGGTAATGCAGTTGCAGAATATGTTGTTGTGTAGTTGTTACAATCCAGAGTGCGTGGCCTCCAGAAGTAGTATTTGAGATAGGCAGCCTCCAGGTTAAATACATAGACACTAAAATCAACCCAAGCCTCGAAACCACTTTCATCATCTCTGTGTCCAACTCCCACGCAACTAGATACTTAAAGAGAGCAGTTGTTGATCAAATAATCTAACCAACGCATATGTGTGCTTTCTTCTGGAGTAAGTACCGATATAGGCAAGATGCGACGGTATGAAGAAACGCGTATAGATTCGAGGGGAAATTTTACAAATTTGTGTGCAACACAACATCATGGCACCCTGAGAGGGGAAGTCTTGGAGGCATGGTGGAACTTTCGACCTCCCCCCCTCCTTGCGACCTGGGCTCATGATAGGCGAGAAATCAACAAGAATGTAGTTGCGAGAGTTAACATCTTCCCAGCCCAGGCCCATCATAGAGCTACCCCCTTTAACACGTGCTGACGGACGCATTTGTGGAAAGTGGTGCCGGTCCTCCAAAAGCAGCACTCGATATACTCGCCCATGTTTCCGTTTCCGGAAATGCAGAGGCCCTTACAGATCTTTTCGTGGAGGTGTTTGGGGGCTGTGGGAGCCACGAGCGAGCGGTCCTAGGCTTGAAGACCGAAACGCTTCTTTAGTCACAAGTAGAGGCTCGAATATGCTCTCCGGTGCAGTGCCGTTCATATGGCCTATCTTGCTCCTCATACCTAGTTCAGGGCGGGAAGCACATTCTCGTGTATTGTTAATCAGAATAAGTATGAACAGAACATTGACGGCCCATAGTTGTGCTACGTCATGTAGTCAAGACGTCCATTCCCTCAACTACCTCACCCGTCATGGTCGATACAGCACCATCGGTAATTCACGCAAGATCGAATTTGAAAATGCGATAGCTTCATCTTTTCCGGCATAACTTGTGAGGAAAGGGTAACAAGGCAAGGCAGACGTATTGACGGAATTGGTCTCAGCAGCATGCCTACGGAAGAGGCTACGGGATCCATACATGAAGCCCCTTTCTTAGACACGAGTGCGTCCGCATGGTGAATTAGCCTCATCGTAAAAGACACGAACTTGTTCAGATGGTCGAATGGGAAGTCGCGACACCAAAAAAAGTCGACGATCTGAGACATCGTCATCGACGACGTGCCGAGTTAACCTTTGCAAGAAAGCGGCACGAGAGCAGATCATTGCCGATCCGAAGTGGCAACGGGCCCCGGGCGCCTTTGATTTCCGATGCGGTGCAAACAGCCAAAACGCCTGGCATTTGAGTGTCTCTTAGTAAAATATAACGAATGCGGCTTGCGAAGCTACTAGAAATTGTTTAACGAATAAAAAAAAAGATAGAGAAAGTAAGTCACCGAAAAATATCCAATTATGAAAAATGAAAAAAATAATTGACAACTGTGAGATTCGAACTCACGCCTCTTTCGAGACCAGAATACTATCCTCTGAGAGGATCAAGCTTACACTTGAGTCTGGCGCCTTAGACCGCTCGGCCAAGTTGCCTGTTATATGGATGGTTGAATGTTTGGGAAAACTACAACGCTAAGTAGGTTCACACCCTTGCGACCTTACCCACATATCTTGCGCCGTCCTATTTGCTGCTATTTTGCTCAGTGAGTTGGCACAATATCTTTCCCTCGAAACTCACAGTCAACCGGCAACCTTATACATTGGAGAGAGCATCGATGATTGAGCATCTCAGGTGGCCCAAACAAGAGCATCCGGAGCAAAAAAATAAAATAAAATATGAAGTACTCTTCACAGTGTGCGAAGAGACGAAACTGGGATGGGAACCGTCGGTTCTCCGCGTGCTCTGCGATAGCTTGTACTGAATGAGACACAGCCCGCCACCGCCGCTGTTCATGGCGAAAGCTTGGTACCCGCGTGGCCGCGAACTGGCGGCAGTTGTGGCTTTGCACTATTTGGCCTCCAGGGTCCAGTTCTCACTACCTTGAGTTGCCACAGAAAGTAGCCTCATGGACAAGAAGGAGCTTAACTCATTGGAAATGAGAAAATCGTAGGAACGAACCAATAGACTGAATAGCGTCGGGAACTCTTCTCAATAGAGACCCAGGCAGCTGGTGCTTCTGCCCCGCGGTCTAGCCCTCCTCCGAAGTGACTGAAAGGGTGAGTAGCAAGGTGGTAGGTAGTGCACTGAAGGACGGTAGCGCCAACTTCAACAACGAGGCCGAAAACTATTCCAATATTTTCAAGGCTATAGGAGAGGGAGTGGAACACTCCCAGTAATGCGAGGCAATGCGAGGTTCAATGCGAGAAGCCATCTTCGCAAGGAACAAGGCTTGCTACTACCGGAGACGAACTGGGCCTGAGCACATGTCTTCAGAAAACATCGAGTCCTTCAGTCTTCTTCCGGACGTGAAGTTTAAGTCTGCCGATCAATCGCACGACTTTGTCTGAGGGAATCGAGCTTTTTACGCCTTGTCCCTACCGATTCTGCTGTGATGCGAGCTGGAGGGGACGACTGAATCGTAGACGTAATTGTACCGTCATGTTCCTGATTTTGTACCGGCCGTTTTTGGATTTGTTGTTTTCTGTGTCTTGACACTGACGATCCAGACCCTTTGCGGCTGTCGCTTACCCCGAAGCATCGCTACTCGAACAACACCCATGTTTACATAACCAACTTCAGCCGTTATAATCTAAGCGGCAACTGAGACACGGGGTATCTTCCCGTGGTCGGATCCGGCAGGTACTTGCACGCGTGAGATCTGGAGCCTCAGGAACATCGCACTACATAGTAAACATGCCTTCCGCAACCGTCTCATGCCATATGGGCTACCCAGTTCGGATGCCCACAAACTCGGTCCGAGAGGCATCAATGACAGAACTCGTAGCCATCATTTACTGCCAAACTACATGGAGACTAAGACAGCGATAATGTCTTGCGGCCAATCCGGAGGTCTGCTTTTCACATACAGGTCAACCAAGGACAACCCCACTGGCTTTATGCGACAGACAAGCCTCGGCGACTGGCGATCCATCTCTTTCCAGCGAGATGACGGACCTGCACCAGTGTGTTCAGCCTTCGGAAACAGTCGATAGTGGGGTCCATGGTTGACAGACAAGCGAATAGAGGCGGGCCGCCGTCACTTTCCTTTGGGATAGAATTCCGCTGGCAAAGTTGATGTCCGTGTGGCAGCCTAACCAAGACTTGTCAAATCTCCCCTGCCGTCCCTGAGCTGATCGTATAAAGATGTCTGCCCCGACCCCTCTGTATAGTCACCTGGAATTTCTGCGACCCCGTTCTCATTTGAGGTTCCCTTAGCTGAGACCACGGCGGATACCCAGGTTTTAACCACAGAAACCGAACAACCAATGGCTGTCTTTCAGGACAACGACATGGCGGAGTCCCAGGGTCGGCCTGCCCCAGCCTACACTGAGACGCCGGTAGACACAACTTTTGAACAATTGGACCTCAATAATGCCGAATATGAGAAGGTTCCCCTGAGAATGGGAGAAGATATTCCTCCAGACGACGAGGCAAGTTCCTGTGACGGTGAAAACCTGCAGGTTCAAGCCATCCCTCCTCGGCCACTACCACCTTGGATAAAATACCCCAAGGCCTTCTTATTGGCCCTCGTTCCCAGTTTTCTTCACCCTTCAGATCCCAATAAACCCCCCAAGCCACTTCACCCAACGTCATGGCTCGGTAAGATCTATACTTCCTCGTGCCATTCTCTCGGGGAACGTGGTCACTGACAAGCTACAGATGGCCTTCGAGGCGTAGCGGCGTTTCTCGTGGTCTGCCATCATTGGTCACTCCTCACTTTCACAAACCGGATCCACGCGGGATACGGGGCTGATGCTCAACCCCTCTTCATCCAGCTCCCTATTATCCGTCTGGTCGTGTCCGGATTTTGGGCCGTCTGCGTCTTTTTTGTAATTTCCGGCTTCGCTTTGAGTTATAAGCCCTTGAAGCTTCTCAAACAGAAACGGGTGGTAGATTTCGCCATTGCCGCTGCCTCGTCCGCCTTCCGCCGGTACATCCGAATCTTCGGCCCCCCCATGGTCACAACGTTCATAATCGCTCTCATGACTTACTGTGGATGGTTCGAGAAGCAGTCTCAGCCGCTTTTTGTTGGTTTCCCGAGATTGAGGCCACCCGTGGGCCAAACTCTTTCTGATCAGCTGTGGCACTGGTTCTTGACTACCCTTGCGTTTGCGGATCCGTTGTCTCGGGATATCCACAGAGGAAACACCTACCCCTATGATGCCGTTCTCTGGACCATACCTATCGAGTTCGATAGCTCTCTCGTCGTCTTCCTGGCTCATGTCGCATTTTCCAGGCTACGACCCTGCATCAGGCTCTTCTTCGACGCCTTTGCATGCGCATATACACTCTACTTTGCCCGCTGGGAATTCTTCCTCTTCCTCTCCGGCATGTTCTGCGCAGACATCCACTTCTACTTCCAATCCGAAGTAGAAGAACTGCAAGATGCCGAGGGTAACTGGGACACCCTTCCTCTTTGGTCCAAGCCGTGGCGCCGCGACAGCTTTGCTCGGATCCAAACTCGGATCCAGTCAGTCTTCTCATCCTCACCAGCCTTCAGCATCTTCAAGAAGGCCCTCACAATCTTCTCCTTTTTCGTCGCCCTTTGGCTTCTCTCATATCCTCATTTGACCCAGGATGCGGCTATCACGCCGGGATTTAGCTTCCTACATTCCATCACGCCGCCGCAACATACCGATGGAAGCGCTCTCTGGATTCCAGTCGGTGCTGTTCTACTGGTTTTCACGGTAGACCGAGCACCGCTCTTGCAGCGGCTCTTCACGAACCGTTTCGCGCAGTATCTCGGACGTATTTCATATGCACTTTATTTGGTTCATAATTCTTTGCTTTGGGTTTACGGGTGGCATCTTGTGTGGTTCTTTACGACCCTAACGGGCATCATGACGGATGGGCAGTATGGCTTCGGCATTTTCCTGGCGACGTCCTTATTCTTCCCGGGTGTCATTCTCGTGGCCGATTTCGCCCAGAGATATCTTGATGCCAAGATCGTGGCCTTTGCCGCTTGGTTCGAGAGGAAGTTGATTGCGAAGACGAAGTAAAGGGCATGGATTTGGATTTAGTAGCAGCAAACTGGCGTTCCGGGGATCGGAGACTCAGTCGCGTCTACTATTGTCGCCTTGCTGAAAAAGCGTATAGGCAGGGAGCAGTGTACACTCATGAACGGCTTCCGGCGTCGATCAAGCGCTCGAGATGTAAAGCCAACTACTGTAATTGTAATGCTTGGGCATTAGATAGGCCCAGAAAAACTCCATAACATGAACTAATTCTTACATTGACCAAACACGTTCAATATTTTCAGTGGCTGCGATGAAGAACTCGTAGTATCTTCAAGGCAGCCCATGCCCCGCTGTTGCGTACAAAATACCCTCGGGTCCTTGCATATGCCGCGGTTCAAAGGGCAGAGAGACATGAGACGAACGATTCGACAAACTTGGTGAACCCTACCAAGCCGAATTCGTCTGACGTCCTCGACTATCGACTCGCGGCTCCCCACAACGTAGCGGGGACATTAATAACCACCCCTGCTCCATCAGATAACTTTTTGTCCATCTGATAATCAGCCATCGGCCAATTCGCGCATGTCCACCCCTGATCATCATCGTAGCGCAGAGTTGGGTCAAGGATGACAAGATTACTAACATGCTATTTAGGTATGCAGCTCAGGGAAGCTCCTCAAGACTTGACGTGCAAATACAGGACCGTGACTCGGCCGAGATCACGAGCCAACCGTCCACATAATTCTCTCCTGCAAGTCCCTGGAGTCCCTGCAGAAATGAGAGGGCAGCAAAATGGCAAACCGCATCGCCCGGCCGGCAGCCGCCGTTACGATCCACGGACAAAGCGGGCTCGGCTGCTCCATTGGGCCAGGGACCCGATGCATCACATCCATATTGCGCGCTTGGCAACCTAGGGCTGTCCCTTGACTCTGCAGAGAAAACCCGCTCCGCGCGATGGAGTCAGTAGAGTAACCCGCCGACACGAAGAGATCCAATACCATGATGGGTATTAAAAGTGCGGCTATTGCCGTCGCGCGGCTGTCAGGTAGAATTTGAAAACACCCATGCCCTCTTTCCGCTCGTTTTGGCTCTCTTTTTGTTTTTCCCCTCTCTTCTTTTTTTTTGTGCTGTCTCTCTCTTTCTCTTTCTCTGCCTCAGTGTAGGAAACAGCTCTCCGTCTTGTGTTGAAGCAATGAAGGGTAGAGTTCTGGTTACCGGCGCAGTCGCGTTGACACACATCGCGGAAGCCGCGTATGTCTGGCCGTCTCAGTATGACGAGATTGAAGACATCTTGTCACTCCAGACGGGATACCGCGGAAGAGGCTTCGTAGATGGTGAGTTGACCCTTCTGTTTCCGGGATAGTTTGAGAATTCCGACTCTGACTTTTCATTTATTAGGCGTGACTCCTTGCTCCTTTGGAGGCAACATCAAAGGCCGTCAATTCGCCGCAGAATGGATCCGAACAGCCTTTCACGACGTAGCCACGACGGACGTGGCTGCGGGACAGGGCGGCCTCGACGGTTCCATCTGGTTTGAGGTTCACCGTCCCGAGAACGGAGGCGCCGCCTTCAACAACACCTTTAGCTTCTTCGCCAACCTCTACTCCATCAAGGCCTCCGCCGCAGATCTGCTGGCGATGAGCGTCGTTGTCGCCAACGCCGGCTGCGGCGGCGCGAGGATGCCGTTCCGGGCCGGGCGCATCGACGCCCAGGAGGCCGGCCCCGCGGGCGTGCCCGAGCCGGACACCCCGCTCAACAGCACGATAGACACGTTCGCCAAGGCCGGGTTCAGCAAGAGCGAGATGATTTCGCTGGTCGCGTGCGGGCACACCCTCGGCGGAGTGCACAGCAGGAACAACCCGCACATCACCGGGCTCGACCCGACGCCCGATGTGGTGACGCCTTTCGACAGCACGTCGGACAACTTTGACAACAAGATCGCGACGGAGTACATCAAGGGCACGACGGCGAACCCGCTCGTGGTCAACGCCAACGAGACGCTCAACTCGGACAAGCGCATCTTTGCTTCGGACGGGAACAAGACCATCACGCAGCTGGGATGCACGGGCAACGGCTTCAAGACGGCATGCGCCGACATCTTCACGCACATGATCGACACCGTGCCCTCGTCGGTGACCTTGTCGGACCCCATCGAGCCCGTCGATATCAAGCCCTACGTCAGCACGACGTTGGGCGGGGACGGCAGCATCACCTTCAGCGGGCGGGTGCGCGTCAGGACGACCGAGGGCAGCGGGCGAAACTCGACCGACCTGGCCGTCCATCTGACCTATTCCGACCGCAACGGAGAAGGCGAGACGGAAGTCTCGACGACGCTCGACGCCGGCGGCGTGACCACGGGTCTCCACGGAGAGACGTTTGTCTGGTATCAGTTCGAGACGGCCGTCGATGCCGCTCGCGGCATTAGCAATTTCTTCATCCACTTCACGACGCCGTCTACCAAGGAGGTGACGGTCCACAGGAACGCGGGCAGCGGGTATCCCGTGGACGACACGCTGCTCTACCTGGAGTCGGAGTCGTGCGTCAACCGGACGAGCGTGAACAACGAGCGGACGTTCACTGTCACGGCCGCGGTGCGCAAGGAGCGCTCGTCGGACCCGGTGACGATGGATGTCGTGCGTCTGGTGCGGCGGCAGGGGGTTATTGTGCGCAAACTCGAGGTTGACACGGTCGAGTTGGCGGCGACGGGCGAGGAGAGGGGCGAGTATGCCATATTCCAGGGCAAGACGCAGCTTGCGACGAATGGATGGAGCACGAGCTTTGATCTGGTGCTGGGCGGCGAGAAGGAGGTCAAGGCCGAGTTTTTCAAGACGCAGGCCTGTCCCCGTACATGATTACCGGGTAACGGGCAGATGGTATGCCTCGTAGCGTGTCTGTCTGGGTAGATGGGTAATCACTCAAAGTAGATAATGATACCACGAAGCTCTTGATGAACCGACAGGCCCCCCTATCTCTTGAGATATGAAGAAACCTTACATGATCTGCAGGTTATATGATCCACGTTGTTTACCCTGATGAAAAGATATGAAGCGGTTCCGAGGGATTTTGCCTGTCACCCCCCCTTTTTTATTCTTATTTTTTTTTTTAAAGAGCGCCCGTCCCTTATTATAACCACGTTTCTTCTTGCAGAGCTCCATTGTCATTATGGACGTTTCTTTCCAGAGTAACCAGGCTGGCCTCGTCGTCCGAATAAGAAAAACCGGCTTAGAGATTTGCTTCTGTTCTCCGCCACAGAGCATTTCACGCCTTGCTGGGAATATTGCAGCCTCAGATTCAGACCAGCTGGCCCCCGTCCTAGTTTGCCTCGGACAGAGAAAGTTGTGCTGTCTGGGTAACTCAACGTTACACGTGACACACGCACACTGCGTGGTTTACTTTTAACAACAAATAAATTCATCTTTTGAGGTGTTTCTGGCCGACATGGGCTTTGTCATTACTCCTGAGCCCCTCAGTCAGGGGCCCGGCAAAAGTTGCCGCTCTCCCACACAAACATGGCCCGATTGTGCTCGGGAGCATAGGCCCACGTCATGTCGGCCGAGCCACGGCTTTGGAATAATTGGATCGATAGCCGAATCAATTTCCATTTGACCCCGACGCCTTGGAATCAACACGCCCTTAATCTGTAACCCGCAGCGAAGCAACTGGCGGGCAGCTCCAGTACACAGGAAACTTCCTATCGCGAGGGGCCACCCCAGTTTAACGAATATGCAGCCAATCTCGTCAAAAGGCCGCTCGGCATGATGTCTTGGCTATGAGGGAAAAGAACAAGTGCGATTGATCAAGACTTCCCACAAACAAGTCCCGGGGAGGACCAGGTTGGCGGTATCCTCGGGAGTCTGCTGTTCATGGCGCTGGAGTGGGGTCAGATCGGAAATCTGGAGAGCATCTCGACAGTGTTGGGTTCTGATGCACACAACAGCAGCAGCAGCAGCAGGGCATGAGACAGGCAGGGAAAGATATGCTGCCGTAGGATACTACCCAAGGTGAGGGGAAATCTCGTTAGGACGAGACGTAGTCTCGAAAGAGCGTTACACAGGTTCAAGAGTGAGCCGTATCGTGCGATTTTACTAAACTATTTATTGCCCTTGCTGTGCCGCACATCTCGTGCGAAGGGAAAGACATATTTAGCCCACGGGCTTACAGGCTTCTGCAACGATTGGCATTAATGACGTGAGCGGACTGGACGGATGGTATGCATTACATAGGATGTGTAGCAGCGGTGTGGGAAGAAGGGGGGCAAGCCGAAGGTGTTGGGAGTGTTGGAAGGGTTGAAAGGGAAGGGACCATAGAAGGGGGCTTCTGGAAGTTGCGGAAGGCCGGTGTCAGAGATGGTAAAAAGAAACAAGTGTGCCCCGCCAGGCACAATGACAGTGACATGTCAGATGCTGTACTACGACGTTGGGCTGCAAAAATCCATACGCAGTAATAGATTTGCGTTTCCTCAGGACATGGGGAAGGGATTTTGTCAATAACAGGCCCGGCATCGGGGGGTTCCACGTTTCCATTTCCGACCTCCGTCTCCGCCGGAGCTAACCCCGAGGAAGGATAAGAACAAGGGATTGTTGGAAAAGACGGGGCTGAGCAGGGTAGAAAAATAAAAGGATGGGATAGGGCGGTCGATTGAGAGCATGACAGATGCCGCCCTGCTGTTAGCAACATGCAACATGCACTCAAGGTAGCATGGCATGGCCCCCCAATTATGATGTTGTCGTTCGTCTAAGGTGTTAAGGTGTGCTGGTTTGCTGGAGGGGTCCCATTTGTGATCCGTTTCGACCCCCTTCCCCTCCTTCACTGAAGGAACCTAATCGTAGCCCACTTAGGCACTTGGCTGCTATGGTACCCGGTCGGACCAAGACGGAGGAGGGAGGGGTAGTAACAAGGGCAGCATGCGTAGTACATAGTAGTAATTGGTGTGTATGTGTATGAGGAAACAGAGGCTGATATCAAAATCGTGCTAGAATCCCCCCAGCGGAGTTTTGGTGTTGGTCAAAACAAAGCTAAAAGTGGCCTCATCAACGGTCATGGCTTTCCACCCCGCCGTGTACGCAGCAAGCAGTAGCATCAAGTCGAACGCACCTGCCACGTTCTGGAGCATGCCGAAAGAGGCCTAGCGTCTTATCTGCTGGACCCTGGGGTCCCTTCCGAGGGGTTCGACCAATGAGAGTGCCTCCATAGTGTGGACAGCCCATGCCTGCCACACTTAGATAATCCGCAAAATCAGCCCATTCTCACTCCATCCGCCGCACTCCAAAGCTCATGTCATGCCATTTTCCAAAATCGTTTGAAGCATCCGCGAGGCAATCTCCAAGTCTGTCGAACGATCCAACTGTCTGTCTGCAGTCGCAAGCTTGTCGGTTCCTAGCACCCCCTCTTTTTTTTTTTTTTTTTTTTTCTTTCTCCTTCCCAAGTACCTTCTTTTTTTTTTCTCTTCTCTCCTTCACCGTCTGTCCGTGTCTCCTTCTCGTCTGCAAGCCCTTGTCTGGTCTGGTCTGCTGGTTTGCTGCTACCTATGCCGCATCCACTGTTCTGGTCCTGGTTCTGATCTGCCCTGGTCTGGCTGCATATTCCGCGACCCTATCCCAGACTACTATTATATCTCGAATACCACCTCCGGACCCAACATTTTTCCCTGACGCACACAAACCCTCGGACGAGAACACACAAGTGCACCACTCAACGGCTGGAGCCGTACCTCTGTTTCCACCCTCGCCTCGAGCTCGAGCTCCACGTCCGCTTCAGTGTGTGCTCTGTGTGTGTGCGCCGCCCAGGTGGTGAACCGTACTTCAACTGCGCATTGCAAACTAGAAACCCCACGTTTTCAACCCTCCAACCTCTGCCGCATGACCGTGGTCCGTCTAGAGACACTCAATCCCATCATATTGCGCCGCCCTTGCTTAGTTAGCTTTCCAGTCAACTCGGACTCCTTCGACAACCCTCGCTGCGCACAAAAGGCCGACCCCCGCCTATATTTGAGATTGTGATACGGATTATGGCACCCGGCTTACTCAACTCAGACGGTTCAATGGATGACCAGAATGGCAACGCCGCCGGGCGTCTTAACGCCAACTTCGAACCCAACGTAGACACCCTCACCCTTCTCCGAAGCTTGCCTGAGCCCCCCATAGAGTCTCAGGTATGCGTTGTTGGCGCTGGACCCGCCGGTCTTATGTTGGCTGCCAATCTTGGCCGTTTCGGTATCAAGGTTGAGGTCATTGACGACAGAGCCGACCAGACACCTGTTGGAAGGTAGAACCTATGCCACCCCCCTTCCCACATGTGATCAGCTCGCTAATGTCAGTGTAGAGCAGATGGATTGCAGCCCAAGACGATCGAGACCTTCCGACAGATGCGCCTGGCCGATCCTTTGTTGAAACGAGGCGTTCGCGTTTACGACATTTCCTTTTGGCGTAGCACCGCCGACGAGCCACTTCACAGACTGGGCCGCGAGGTTCACTACCCTCCCGTCATTGACGTCCTGGATCCCTACATTCTTTTGGTACATCAGGGCATGGTTGAAGGCCTCTTCATCGACGATTTGAAAAAGCGTGGAGTCGAGGTGCGAAGAAACACAGCATTTGAGTCCTACAGCGTGCCAGAAGACAAGTCTGGTCCTCTCCAGGTCAACTGTCGCACAAACGTAAATCAGGACCGCCGGACGATTTTGACTCAGTACCTTATTGGATGTAAGTAAACTAAAAAAAAGAAAAAGCCTTGCACTCTGCGCGCAGGCGACTAACAAGTCACAGGTGATGGTGCACACTCAAAGGTACGCAAGAGTATTCCAGATGCGCGGGCCATTGGCTTGTCGCAACCCGCCATCTGGGGTGTTCTCGACGGCGAGCTGATTACCGACTTCCCCGATATCTGGTCTAAGACGCTAGTTTACTCTCAAGAGTACGGCTCGATTCTGATCATTCCGAGAGAGAGAAACATGACCCGTTTCTACATCGAGCTCAAAGCAGGCCCCAAAGCTGACAAGCGAGAGCTTGGCCAGGAGTTCGTCATGGCTCGCGCGAAGAAAATCATGGCGCCGTTTGAGGTTGACTGGAAGTACATTGAGTGGTTTGGTCGCTACCAGATTGGCCAGAGAGTGGCCAGCCGGTTCTGCGACTCCCATCTGAGGGCGTTCCTTGCTGGTGACGCCAGTCACACGCACTCTCCAAAGTCGGCTCAGGGCATGAACACCTCTATGCACGACTCTTGGAATCTGGCGTGGAAGCTCAACCTGTCACTTCGTGGCCTTGCGAAGTCCGTACTGCTCGAGAGTTACGAGGAAGAGCGGAGAAAGATCGCTGTAGACCTCGTTAACTTTGACTATGAGCATGCCAACCAGATTGCTGGCGGCGATGCTGTGGCGCTGGCGGAGAACTTCAAGACCAACGTCCGTTTCATCTCCGGTATTGGCGCCGAGTATGCCGAGAGCCTTCTCAACAGGTCCGACCCCCAGGGTCTGGTCATGGGAGATGCCCGTCCGGGCTGCTTGCTCCCTCCCGCCAAGGTCACTCGTTACATTGACTCAAACCCCGTTGATGTGCAGCTTGATATTCCCATGCTCGGCCAGTTCCGCATCTACCTCTTGATGTGGGATATTCAGGCTTCGAGCCCCTTCCTAGAGACTTTCTGCCAGTCTATCGCCTCGGCCAACTCCTTCATCAGTAAGCTGTCCGCTTCTGCCAGCGCCTCGTACGCCGCGCAGCCCAGATTGCCTTCTCCGGAAGATATTTACTCCCGGCCCGAGCGATACACTGCTGTCAGCCATCTCTTCACATTTGCCTTGATTAGTAAGTTCACCCAGGACAGGGATTCTGAGGCAACCACTGACAAACTCCCAGCCACCATGCCGAAGGCCGATGTGGAGATTTCAGACCTGCCGGCCCTCCTGCAGGACAGCCGCTGGACGTTCTACCTGGACGACATTCCAGAGCAGGACACGCGCGGCCAGCTCTGCACCAACAAGTGGCTCGGCAGCCTCGGCCCTGGAGAGGTCGCCATCGTCAACGTACGACCTGACGGTTATGTTGGCTCCGTCGGCAGGTGGGACTCGAGCGTGGACGATGCTGGTGAAGAGGCTGCTCGCTGGTTGGATGCGTACTACGATGGCTTCCTTCAGCTGCCTAACGGCTCATCTCCTACCGCAACCCCAACCCCCATGACAGTTTAGACATGACAATTCTTTTAATATCTAGTCTGTTCTCAGGGGCGACTACTTGAACGTTTCTGTAACATACTCATCTCACATCACATCACATCACACGACACATAATCAGAATGCTTGGAAAGGCACCAAAGCATTCACAAAAAAGCAACGCAGGCATGAAATCATCACTTTCTCTCTCTTCCAACTTGTCCAGCAGGTGTTGGGGAGTGCGGCGGCGGTGCGGTTGTTATCGGCATTTTCAGGAGCTAAGGGGAGATGGAATAATAAGCACACATCTGCTGCGAAGCAGGGCTTGATTTCTCTACTTTTTTTTCAACTTTTTTTTTTTTTATCACATCTGAGCCTTGGGGAAGGATTACCATAGCAGGCAGACACATGTCAATAGATGGAATCTTCATTGCAGATCTCTCTCCATTCAGCTCCTCGAACCACGCGCACCTGGGCCCATGATCGTGACAACATGGCACCATGGCTTGGGGGTCCTAAGCGATTCATCATCTCCCGTTTCCCCATGCACATCCACTTTGGCAGTTCCTAAATCGTTATGCGGATCCTCCCTCCTCTTCGACCTTGCTTTCCGCTTTGCTTTCCGCTTTGCTTTCGACGCCCCGAAGGAGCCGGCCTGCCGGTGCCTACATGCTGCAACTTGCATAAGAGTTCGTTGGAGCAATCCTCTTTGCGGCAAAGCAGCTAGCCCGAATCATCCATCCATTTCCTCATCGGACGACCTTCACGCCAGCCCTATCAGAATCGAACCACGCTCACGTCCCCCGCATCGTCTTCTCCGATAACCCACCGCTCATCCCCCGCCAGCGCCGCCCCCGACATGACGGTCCTCCACATGTCATCCGGGAACTGCACCTCGCCCCGCCCTGCCGTCGCTGCGTCCGAATCCCTGTCTGAGTCTGCGTCTGCGTCTGCATCTGCGGCCACTTCGTTAGAGCCAATATCTCCTGCCGGGGGGTCCTCGGAGGGTGTGCTACCTCTGCCGCCACAACTGCCTTCTACGGTCACGCTGACCGTCTCCATGGTGAAGCACTGCCTTCCGCAGACCCTCGTGCCTGCGGCTGAATCCACGACCTCGGCAACGGTGAGATATGGAAACTCCTCGTGGCGCCAGCAGGGCGCTCGTCCCCTCCTCCGGCACTGTGGTGGGCTGGCGCTGCCGGCCGGGCAGAAGGATCTTTCTGCGTCGCCTTCCGCGCCGCACTCGTCGACCCACCGTGGGCCGACCCCAGTGAGCGGCAGCCCCGTGCTCCGCACGCTGTGCCGCGCCGGCGGCGCCTCCGAGGACTGAGGCCCCGCGATCCAGAGGTGATCCTCTTCGTGCAGATACACATGGCCCACCCCTCCTCCTCCTCCTCCTCCTTTTGCCTCCTCACCGGTATCGTCACCGGTGTCGAGAACTAGGCGCGTGACGCGGGGAGTGTGACGCTGCCTTACGGCCCAGTGATCCAGGTCCCCGTTTGTCAGGCGGAGGATGACGTTCGGCCCCGGGTCGGCATCTGGCTTTCGGGATGAGGAGGGGTCGAGGCTGGGCCTGTAAGGCGAAGGAGCGCCGAGGGCCCAGACGACCAGCCGTTCCAGGGGTGTGTCCTCGCCCCACGGGGAGCGCGTCGGCTGGTGTGCGTAGACGGCGTAGTGTGTTGCCGTGTGCGTTGAGATGATGCGGTCTTGATGGCTGAGAGGGAGACCTAGGTAGTGGATTTTCCATTCCGAGCGGAATGTCACTTTGGGGCCTTCCGGTTCTGCGACACCGGGAGAAAATGGTGCTGCGGCGAGGAGCGAGGAGGAGGAGGAGGAGGAGGAGGAGGAGGTGGCGCGCACATCAAAAGCCGTCGCGAAATGCCGGTGCGCCGTCTCTCTCTCATTGAGGGGATGAGATCCCGTAGCCTCCGCCCATTCGACCACCAACACCCGCTGGGCGAGACGGACACGGCGGACGATCTTATCGGTCCAGTCGAACGGGACCGTTGCCTCCGCGCCAGAACACAAATCCAGGGCTTTCAAGACGGGTGGCTTGGACCAGGATGACGATGGAAACGGGGGCTGTGAAGGGGAGGGATACACCAGCACCCCGCCGTCGTAGGTCCAGCTTCGGTCTGGGAGCTGAAAGGGCATGGCCATACCGTCACGACGGAGGAGACGGTTCCACGGGGCGAAAGGGTAGATCAGCTTGCGGTCTTTAAGGATGGGGATGGTGGTAAGAGAGTGAAACTCCCCTAAGGAGAGGTTATGGTAGCGGCGGGAGACGACGGCGAAGATTCTAGGCCAGTCTGCTGGTGGTGACGGCGGTGGTGTAGGCTCGTCATTTACAGGAGGTGCCGGCCATTCTCGACTCGAGGAGGATGAGAACTGGGATCGTAGAAGGCGACATTCGAGAGATCTGGGGAAGAAGACATGGAGTAAAGCCTGTGAGATGTCGCGCCTTGTGAGGGCGGCGTGAGATGCGCGGGACACACGGCGGTGAAGGACGATATCGCGTGGGCTCAGGTAGCAGAGAATCTCGAGAAAGAGGGTATCGGGGAGATCTGTAAGTTGGAACATCTCGCTCTTCTTATCGAGGAAAAGAAGATGCCGCAAGACAAGGAAACGATTAAGTGTGTGTTGAGTTCATGTGTGACCAAATCGATTGATGTCTACGAGCAGACGCTAGACGCAACGCAGCTCAAAAGTACACTACACTACGAAAAGACGACGAGCAGCGAATCTTGTAATTGAAAAACACTGGGCACGTACGGCGGCTGGGGCGGCTATCTGTTTCTGGGCGCTGGCGTTGTCTTATTGATGAGAGTGCTTCTGAGGAGTCGAGATGCGTCCGTCGTCTGAGCTGCCAAATGAGAATATGGATGGATACCGAGACCACCGCATTACTAAGATGGGCGGCCGTTTGGGCTTGATGCAGGTTTCCAGTTGCACCGGACCTTGCTTTCGCGCTGTTTCAAGAAGAAAAATGCAAACAAGGAGTCGCGCGCGCACGTTGGTTTTCCATTCATGTAGATAGATGCTTCATTTTCATATCTGGCTACTCTGCAAATCCCAGCCAATCTCAACTTCATATATCGTACGTGCCCCATCTGTTTCAAACGTTTCAAAATGTACCTTGATCCTTTTGAATCGACCTGACATGTCCTTTTCAGCCCAGCCAGTTTCCTCGTTAACCCGTCAGACAAACTCCATTTGCTCGTGTGACTCAAAATCAAATACCATCAATCGCCAAAAATCAAGTCTCTGCTATCCGGCCCGCATCCCAGGCACGGCCCCACCCGGGCGGAAAGCCGATCGGAACGGGCCTGGTTGGCAAATATCTCCAGAACAGGCCTAAGAGTGCGTAGGCATAGAGACATCGGCCCTTTGAGAGATAGCGTCAGCGCTCTGCCACAAGGCAGTGACGGTCTTCTGCTGAGTGTAGAAGTTAATGCCGGGCTTTCCGTAAAAGGTGTTGGCGCCGCCACCAGCGATACTCTTCTTGTTGCCGGTGAAGGAGAACATCGGCAGAGGTACAGGAATAGGAACGTTAATGCCGATCTGCCCGGCCTCGATGTTGCGGCGGAAGGTCTCGCCAGTAGCACCAGAACGGGTGAAGATAGCAGTGCCGTTGCCGTATTCGTTCTTGTTAATCAAGGCAATGGCCTCGTCAAGCGTCTCAACATTCAGGCAGACCAGAACTGGCCCAAAGATCTCCTCACGGTAGCAGCGCATGTCGGGAGTGACATTAGAGATGATAGTAGGGGCAACCCAGTTGCCGTTGGGGTACTTGGCGGGCTTGTAGCCACGGCCGTCAAGCAGAATGGTTGCGCCCTCTTCCTCGGCGCTCTGGATCAGGCTCTCGATGCGCTGCTTGCTCTGAGGGGAGATGACGGGACCAAGATCCGCGCCTTCCTCGAAGCCGCCGTCAACCTTGAGTTTCTTGGCCATCTCAGCCAGCTCGGGGAGCCACTCCTTGGTCTCGCCGACCATGACGAGGGTGCTGAGGGCCATGCAGCGCTGGCCGGCGGCACCGAAAGCGGCACCGACGACGCTGTTGAGGAAGTGGTTTTTGTTACAGTCGGGCAACACTGCGGCGTGGTTCTTGGCGCCCAGGTTGGCCTGTACACGCTTGCCGTGGGCAGAGCCCTTGTTGAAGATGTACTCGCCGGCCTTGTTGCCACCGACGAAGCTGACGGCCTTAATGACGGGGTCTTCCAGGATGAAGTCTACCGTCTTGTGGGCGCCGTGCACGACGTTGACCACACCCTCGGGGAAGCCAGCCTTCTGGACAAGTTCCGCAAGGATCATGGCTGCGCCGGGATCACGCTCGGAGGGCTTAAGGATGAGGGTGTTTCCGGTGACGGTGGCGATGGGGATACACCAAAGGGGAATCATGGCGGGGAAGTCTACAACAGTCAGCCTCACTTGTTCTCAACAGCTCTCCAAAATGACACTTACTAAAAGGGCAAATCGCAGCCACGACGCCCAATGGCTCACGGTAGCTTCTCGTCTCCATATCCTTGGCAACCTCCAACACCTCACCCTTCAGGAGCTCCGGTGCACCGCAGGCGGCTTCGGCAACTTGCAGGCCACGAAGCACATCGCCTCGGGCATCGGCGAACGTCTTACCCTGCTCGAGGGTAATGCTCGCTGCCAGACGGTCCCAGTTCTCACGAATCAGCGCAACGAACTTGAACATAATCTGCTGACGGGCGAGCACGCTCATGGCGCGCCACTTGGGGAACGCCTTCTCAGCCGACGCCACAGCGCCCTGGAGCTCTTCGGTTGTCATCTGGGGTACACGGGTGACCAGATTGTTGGTGGCCGGGTCGTGCAAGTCAATGAAGTCCGTAGCATTGGAAGCGACGAACTGGTTGTCCAGGAAATAGGGTGTGTCCTCAGGCTTTGCAATCTTCTCGTGCGTCTTGGGGTAGGATTCGGCCGTCGAGGCGAGGGCAGCATTGAGGTGCTGCGCCGTGGCATGTATCCTCCTAGCCGCAACGGCAGGAAGTCTAGACGAAGATGACATGGCTGTTGACGACAGGAGAGATGAGCGGGCGAGAGATGCTCCAGAAGTACGGCTGACGCCGGTGGTGATGCCTCGAGAGATGGCTCGACGCATTGTAACGGAGAAGAAGAGAGAGGAGAGGGAAAGAGAGGGAGGGAGAGAGTAAGAAGGGATGTCTAGGAGGACACAATTGATTGACTAGAAACAGATAGTGCTGCACTACTCAGTCTGTTCGTCCGTAACAAGAACCAATGACCAGCCACACAAGCGGGAGTCGGAGTAGAGCGACATCGTAGTCCCTTATAAAGCCCAAGGGAACACGGCGAGCTCCAAGAGTGTGGGGAAAGGTTGGGGTGGGGTAAGATAACGCTCACACTGATCCCTGCCGAATTCCCCAAAGCTCCCCCTGCCGAAGCCGGCCCCAATGCCGCCTTATACCGAGGGGATCCGTGCAAGAAGCCACCATAATCAGGTGGACGCAGTGCGGCGGGAAACTTGTAGGCGGAGCCGCGGCGTAAACGGCGTAAACAGCGTATCACCATGGCCCGTAGTTAAGCGCAGAGCTAACGGGTGGGCCACCAACCTTGACCACCAACGCAACGCAGCTCAAACTCCCAGATGCCACGATTTCCCCGCGCGATTGATTATATCATCAAGCATGACACAAGTGGTACTCACATTAAGTCGAAATATAAAGCAGGTATTGGTCAATCCTTTTTTTTTTTTCATTTGCTACCTAGAATACACCTTCGCCATGCTTCTCTGCTTGACCCTCAAATGGCCAAAACAGACATTTAGTGAGGGAGGCCAACTAAAAAAAAGAAAGCAGCATCTGTGTTCATCTCCGTCCTTAATAATAGCCTGGTGTTCTGATTCAGACAAGATTCCATGGCCCATTTTTTTTCCGCCGGTAGTATGAGAGAGAAAGCGAGCTAATTCACATTTCCACCTTGAGCCACTCTCGTCTACGAGGAGCTTCTGGTGTTGCGCTTGGTAGCCTCCTTGGCAGTGTCGGCGCCAGACGCGACAGCCTTGGAAGCCTTGTCCTTAACATCCTTAGCCTTGTCCTTGACGTCGGCAGCAGCCTTCTTGGCGGCAGGGGGAGCGCTGCCAGAGCTGGCAAGACCGACAATGACGGCAATAAGGGTGACCAGGACAGCACCAATACCACCAGCGACCTCAGGGACGAACTTGATGGCCTGGATGGGGTCCTTCTGGGCGATGGTGATGAAGAGGTCAAGCTTCTCCTTGATGAAGTGGACGGGGTCATCGAGGAACTTCAGGTCGCTGGGGGACTTGGGCTTCTCAGACTCCTTGGGCTTGTCGTTCAGCTCGGCGAGCTGCTCAAGGGGGTGCTTCTCCTTGAAGGTCTCCTCGGCAAGCTTGGCAGCGTCCTCAACAGAGTGTCCAATGTAGATGTTGTCGAAGAGGATGTCGTTCTGCATGGTCCAGATCTCGAAGCCAATCTGTTGTGATGTGCGTTAGCATACTGGGTACTAACTGGAATCAATTGGGTTAAACTTACAGCTCCCATGGGCTCGAAGTTGGCAGGAGTCTTGTCCTCGTAGTAGTCAGGGTTCTTAATCTTGCGAGGAGCCCAGACGCCCTTGTAGGCGGGGTTGTCGATGTAGGGGGCGGTCCACTTGCCCTTGTAGTCGGGGTTCTTCTTCATGGGCTTCTTCCAGGGACCGCAACCAGAGGCCTCGGAGCACTTGGGGTTAGGGACAGTAGGCGCAACCCAGTCGCCATCCTCCTCATCATCCCAGTCCTCAGGCTTCTGGGCCTCAGGGTCGGCAATGGTCAGGGGCTCATCCTCGAGCCAGTCCTCGGGCTTAGTAGCCTCCTCGTCGATGATCTCGAAGGGAGCCTCCTCATCCCAGTCCTCGGGCTTCTTGGCCTCGGGGTCAGCGATGCGGGCCTCGTCAACCCAGTCATCGGGCTTGGTGTCCTTGGGGTCGTCAATCTCCTTGGGAGGGTTAACGGCAGGGGTAAAGTCCTCAAGAAGGGAGCCGGTCTTGACCTGCTCGCCGTTCTGCTGAATGATGTAGGTGTTGTTGGGGTGGACAATGAGGGTGTACAGCTCAGTGGTCTTCACAATGCGAGCGGTGGGAGGGGAAGACAGGTGCTTCTCCTCGTACTCGCCAGTCTTGGGGTTCTTGTGGTTGAAGATGAAGTGAACCTTGTTGGTGTGGCCGCACTTGTCGGGACCAAACATGATCACGTAGGGAGTAGTGTTAGAGAACTCCTCCTGGTGAAGAGCCTTGTTGTCACGGAGGAGCTTCATGTAAGCACCACCGCACTCGAGGCCGTCTGAAAGAATGAAATGTTAGTATTCTCGTGTCAATTGAGGGTCGCACAATTGCCAGGAGACTTACTCTGAAGCTTAACCTCATACTGAACAACGAGAGTCTTGCCCTTGTTGTCAATCTTCTTGGGGAACTTGGCCGAGATGGCGTGGTGAGCAGCAGGGTTCTTGACAACAAGACCCTTGTCACCCTCCATGCCCTTGTAGACCTTGGGCTCCTCGACAGCCCACTCGCCGACGTAGGCCCATTCCTCCTCGTCCTTGCTGTCCTTCTTGGCGTGGGAAGGGTTCCATCTGGTCTCCCAGTCGTCGGTGAACTGCTCAAGGAAAGGAGCCTTGAGGGAGGTGGGCTGGGAAAAAAACCTTTGTCAGCAACTTTCTACTTTTTGAGTGAAAGGATAGATGCGGAGAAGCTTTGCCCAGACAGCCCGTGACTGTCGCGTGCATTGACCCCGTGCGTTAAGTAGATAGAATGCTGGCCGTGAGGTGTCGAGAGGTGATGGCAGCAACAAAGACAAAACTTGGGAGAAAAGAGCTTACAGTGAAGGTAGGCAGCTTGGCAGCAGCCGCGGTAGAGGTCTTCTCCTCGCTCAGAACCTTCTGAGCCTCGTCGGCATAGGCGCCACCAGCGAGCAGAGCCGCGGCGGACAACGCAGCAGCGTTGAACTTCATGATGGGCGAGTTATCGAGCTTGCAACAGCAAGAGATTGGTAGACCGGGTATAGAAGAAGAGAGGATTGGATAAATAACACCTAAAGCTCGGTAGCTCAGGTAGATACGGTGAGAAGAATTGTCAATTGAATGACAAAGTCAGTTACTCCCAACGCGTAGATGATGGAGGAGAATTGTCTGCTGAGGAATTTCCCAAGGAGAGGAAAATAAGTTTCGGAAGAAGGAATGGGGCGAGGTGAGGGAGACGGATTTATCAGTCCGTGAGGCAGGAGCGTACCAGCAGGTGCAGGCGCGGTTGTGCTCAACGTGTCCTTTTTTTGCGTAAGGTACCGGCAAACAGCTGCACCTAGAAAAGGCCAGGTAGGGAGCTATCGCCTCTCGGGGCAATGTATTTCACTGGGATAAAAAAAAATTGGGGAAGCCTACCTGTCCACAGTAGGAGTGCTAGGGGGCCATCAGTTGCCGTGCAGCACCTCACCTTACAGTTCAGGGGTCGTCGGGGGAGCGTTCACCTATAATTCACAGGCGGGTGAGGCAGCTGCTCACCGCACCTATGCACCAATGCGATTGAACGCAGCGCTATGGTACCTTTTACAGTGGGCTCCTTCCTGTAATGTGGCAGCTTACTGGCTGGAAAAAGTGCGGGGGCACGGCCAAGCCAGTGCCTTTGAGATGGGGCCCTTGGCTAGGGGGATCCACAATGTGCTAACAATGAAGGGAAGGAGGGGAAATTCATGGTGCTTCGATGAGCTTCCAAACCTCGTTCAGTCCGGTTCGGTCCAGACACCGTGCTCAGTCTGTCTGCTCTGCTCGCCTTACACTGCTGGTAGTTGGCTAAAACATGGAACATGGCTCCCAACTATCCGCACTCTGCATGTCGCTCAGTCTGCTTCAGCCCCTACCTACTAAGGTAGCTAGTAATACGACGGCCGGTCCCGAGCTGTCTTGGACCTAATGCATTGAGGGTTAGATGAGTAAGGGGGGGTTCTGGCAGGATTCTATTTGAGAAACCTTGAGAGGTATAAGATTATGCAGTCGACATAAGACTTGAAAGCCCAGAAATGCCTCGGCCCACGCTTGATACCAGACTGTAATGCGATCTCGGGAAAGTTTCAGCGTCTCAACGGCTGACAGGCCCAGATGCTGTTTTGGGTAAACGGATTGGGCGATTTTAATCTCCCCCGGAGTCATTCATTCAATCGGACTTATTGCTATCAATCTCACGAAGTTAGCTGCTCCTCTTTGTCCGACCTCATATCCCAGGCGAGGTGCAAGTCTCCACCCGTAAATAGAAACGTGGTGCACCTCACCTATCAGCCCGTTGAAAATGATTAGGTGTCCTTTCGCAACAGTTGCACAGCACCAACTCAGCCTCAACGGGATTAGCTGCCGGTGCCTCGCCAGTTTGTCGCATTAGCCGCTTAGTGCCTCAACTGTCCATTCGCATATGCCCCCTCCAACCTTCGGCTTTTAAGCTCACTGTACAGTCCTCATTGCCTTAGTAGTATGCTTCGTCGTGGTTCCTCTGGTGAAAAAGAGGAGCTAAAGACCCATAGGCGATGATTGACTTAGCCAGCCAATAAGGAGACACGTAGCGAGGAAACGGGAAGTGCTTGCGTGCTTTTGCCATGTGGGGAAGCCGTGAGGTGTCACTGGCCAATTGAGCCTCACATGCAAGTGGCTAACAGAAAATTTCCGTGGTTCTGAGCGACTTACAGCCTGATAATGGCGAGTGAGAGAACAACTTGAGAAACCCAATCAGCAAGAGATTGTCTCACAGCTATTCCTTCACTTATTCCTCCCGATCTTCCAAATCTCGTCTCTTCAGCGGTTGGATCTCATATTCCTTGCTTCTTTTGGCCCCCCTGCTCACACACACCTCTACCCCGCGACTCCTCCCAAGCCTCATCTCACAGCAACAGCCCACCATGGCGTCCGCCAGTGAAATCGAGAACCCCGACCAACTCGTCACCTCCAGCAACCCGGAGCACCCTGCTAACCTTATCCCCTCGCTCTGTGCGAAATTCTGGCACCTCGGTTGGGTCACGGGCACCGGCGGCGGTGCTTCCATTCGTGATGGGTAATTGAAATCTCTCCTGTCTTACTGCCCTTGGTGGAACGTCAAGCTTTCCAATAGTGGCAACTCTTCTTTCAGTGACTATGTGGCCCCCCTATTTGCTCTATTGTTCTCGGTAAAAGAAGCAATCAAACTCACATAAACACTTACACGAATCATCTCATTCACAAACAAACATGGCGGCTTACACTTACACCCTTCTAGCGACCTCGTCTATATCGCCCCCTCAGGCGTTCAAAAGGAGCTCATGAAGGCCCAGGACATCTATGTCTTATCCCTCGCAGCCCAAGAAGCGTCTCTCAAGAACCGCGTCTACCTCCGCTCCCCGCCTTCTTACAAGCCATCCCAGTGCACCCCGCTCTTTCTCGCCGCCTTCACCCGCCGGGGTGCCGGCTGCTGCATCCACACGCACTCGCACTGGGCCGTCCTCGTGACTCTCATCCTCGAGGGCAAGGGACCCGGTAATGACAAGCTCTTCGAGATCAACAACATCGAGCAGATCAAGGGTTTCGGCAAAGGATTCCAGAAGCAGGGCAACCTCGGATACCACGACACGCTCCGCATCCCCGTTATCGAGAACACAGCACACGAGGAGGACCTCACTGAATTTCTGGAGGAAGCCATGGATAAGTATCCCGACACCTACGCTGTGCTCGTCCGCAGACATGGTGTTTATGTCTGGGGTGACAACGTCCACAAGGCTAAGACTCAGTGCGAGAGGTGAGTCAAGGCAGATCCCCCCTTCCCGATCTCACATTTTTGATAGACACCCTGATGCATACCTCCTCTTGCCTAATCTTCCATGTCTCATGGGGAAAAAGAAAGTGATCGCTGGCTAACGATGAATGTTAGCTTGGACTACCTGTTCCAGTTGGCTGTCGAGATGAAGCAGTTGGGCATCCCATGGATCAGCGACATTCCAGTGGTTCAGCCTACCAGGAGCTAGAAATATCATGGGAAATAAAAATGATTCAAATCTCAGCCCCTTGCATTGCTCTGTTTCTTGCACACAAACAACCATAATCACTTAGTGGTCAAGATTGCGGGGTATAGTGAAGGCAGAGGCCTAGCTATTTTTCATTGCTGAAGTACGTGTATGGAAGTATCTCATCAAGGGATGCCGTATGCTGCAGCTCATTCAACTCCGCGTCGATTTAAATATCTTCAATTGTTGCACAGGGATTGAGACGAATATTGAATCGCAACGGGAAAGAATCCTCACTGACAAGTACATTACGCATATCCATATAGTCTGCTCGTTCATTATTGACTACATATACAGTCAACACCGCCCAAGTGGTATCTATCCATCAGCTCAAAGATCATTCAATCCAACCCCCCCTTTTTCAAATCTCATATGAAAATCATTCCCATTTACAGCAGGGCAGCGGCGATGACACCGATGACACCGAAAGTAGCGGAGCCAGCAAGGACAGGAGCAGCGTTAGGGGCGGTAGTCCCGCTAGCGGCAGCACCAGAGCCGGTGGCCGAGCCGGAGGCAGCAGCGCCGGTAGCAGAGCCAGATGCAGTAGCAGCAGCGCCAGAGCCTGTAGCGGTGGCAGCAGCGGAGTTGCCAGAACCAGAGCCGGAACCGGAGCCGGAGCCGGAGCCAGAGCCAGAGCCACCGGTAGCAGCGGGGGTACCGCCGCTGCTGTAATAGTACTGGGCAATGCAGCCGTCACGGCACACGCGGAACCTCTCGGTAGCAGCAGCGCTGCCGTCACCCTGGTCACACTTGGCAACACACTCGGTGGTCTTGTTGACCTGGGATTCGTTGGGGCTGGGAACCTATAAGGGGAACCACGTGTTAGTGTCTTGGACTTGCTTTTCATACAAACTGAAGCCTTGTACGCCTCGCGCGAGGCAACATATCCTACTCTAAAAACCAGTAGGAGGGATCCAACGTACAGGAACACACTTCGACTTGCAGACCAAGTCGGTGGCAGGGCAGCCCTCAAGACACTTGAGGGTGGCAGCCTGTTCGGAGGACTGAGCCGCATCGACGCTGGCGGTAGGAGTGGCGGCAGACGACTGAGCGCTGGCAACAACGGCGAGAACGCCGGCAACGAGGATGGAGGTGAAGCGCATTTTGGCTGGTGTTTATTGGTGCGTCAAGTATTACACGGGTGTATTAAGAATAGGAGTAATTGGTAGTCGAACACACAACGAGAGTGGTTGAAACAGGCGTCAAGCAACGAGCGTAGAGCGAGGGCTGGAGAGGGAAGGGAGAGAAGAGGAGGGGAATGGGATGAAGTGTGGATGGACTGGAGGTGGGTTTATAATAGCATGCCGTGCGTGTGGCATCGAACAGAAAAACACAAATTCATACCCAGCTCTCCGGACGGGACATCGACTAGGATCGTGCCCTGCCTGGAGGTGACAACCTGGGAAGCCAAGGTCCGCCCCAGGTGCCATACTATGATTAGCCTCGAACTGGAGCGTGCCGCTCCTTCTACTTCTCGTAGCTTCCCTTGGTTCACGCCCACCCCTCCAACTTGGTCGTTAGTATTTTCGTGTCGGTAGGCTGGGGACACGCTTGTGTCTGCACGCAAGGGCGGTATCCGGGGTGGATAGACAGGGTTTTGAGGCGTGGGCTCAGAGGCGTGGTGGGGACCTGGAAAGATTCTTTGCGAAGCGCCAACATGTCCAGCGACAGCGGCAGGAGCCAAGCCGGAAGGGGCGAGAAAAGCCTCTCTCTTCTCAGTCCAAGGTGACTTGTGACTTGACCTCGAGCCCGTTGCCCAGTCCTGATTGTTGTGGGCAGAGGTGCAAAAGCCAAACACAAGCGAAAATAAAGGGGAGCCACACTAAAGTTGACTGACGATCGAATTGGATCGCGCCGCGTCCGGGGAAACATTGGGACCTGCCCCTGGACGGGTCTACCCAGCATAGAAGGCACCTGAGCTAAGGTACCTCATCGTAGGAATTTTGTGAGAAGATACTTCCCATCACCTTAATGGTTGCAAGGTGGGAACCATTGGCAAGCCACTGTCCAATAACACCCCCTGTTCGCACTTTCCTACCTAGCTGCCCATTCAAGGGAAAAAAAAAGATGCTGCTCCCCTGTGACTCGTCAGGACGCCTGTCCAAGTGGAGCTAAGCCAACTGTTTAATCCAATTTTAAGATTGCAGTTTTTCCTTCTGATCTTTGTCCATTAACGACTCTAGTCCACTCCAAGACCACCAATCATCGCTCGTTAGTCCGTTGTGTTGTCCCCATCGAGAGGACTTTGCCGGATATCTAACATTACATCAGTGTGGAGGGCAGTTGGTCTGGTGGTCTGTTCGTATTCCACTCTTGTTTTTGTCGAGGCCTCAATAGAACCTTGCCACGGCTCCATCAAACCCTTGGTTTGTTTGCGCACTATCTTTCAAAGGGCTTGACCTCTCTGACCCTAGATGATAGCGGCAGGCTAGTGCCAAAAATCCCATTAGCCACGATAGGAGCTGAGGATGAACATGTGCAGACGAACATCAGACAAAGTTGGGTTGACAGCAAAGCAACCGCCTAATGAACAGAGGAATAGAATAGATCACCTCACTGACCGTGACACGAACCATGCACGTCTTCTCGGACGACGCAGGGTTTTATTAAATGGTACCCTACCATTGGCTGAGCACTAGGCCTTGTTTCAAAGCCCCAACCGACAACACTGTTGACCTGTCGACTAGACAAAGCGCTGGGCGCTGGAGCGCCACTCTGTTTTCCGCTACGCAGTCGCTCAGTGCCTGACGAGCAAAGCCAGCTTTGACGGCCACCGCTTCCCCCCTGGCAAGCGGAGACCAATACCTGGCCATGTCAAATATCGGAACGTTCAAGGAGCCCAAAATGAGTAGTAACTCCAAGGCGGCGTCAATGAATCGACTGCCGTTAGGTTCTTCCCCTAGTTTCGACGATGACGTCCTCGGCTAGCCCTCGAGCAGCATTGGTGACTTGCTCCCCATCAGCCCACTGGGAGTACTCCCCTGAGGCACCTTGAGACCTGGAATTGATTCGAACAACAATTAGTAACGGTTTCTAGCAGGGACGGCATGAGCACCCGCCCAAACAAACTAATGCTGGTGAGTCTCACTTTCTTACTGTACTCCCGACCGACGGTCGATCATTTTCATCTGCCGCCCCCCGTTAATCAATAGCAACACAACGGGGACTTACACGAGAAAACTAGGTTGGCTACTATGCATTAGAAAGATGGAGGGTAGTACTTGGGACGCGGTGTCTTTTGCACTTAGCACTGACACCACTAAGTGTTGGCGTCCGTTGCGGCGAAAGGAAGTGCCCAAAATCCAACTGGTCTGTCAACTTCGCCTCACAGGATTTCGTACGAAGTGCATAAATACGAGATGCCCATCCACCACATCACTTTGTCCTCGATCTACGATCTCCATCTTTCCCATATAGTGCCACCTCTAAGACATAAAAGCCGTGCCGGCAGGCTCATACGAGCCACCGACCCGCCCGCAAGGAAGCGTCGCGTGTGGCGATGCACCATGTCGGCCCGCAGCGCTCTACTGGTGGCATCGTAAAGAATTGGCAAGAAAAGAGTGGTTGTTCTCCAGTTCACTAGTGTCACGAGAGTCTCTCTTCTTCACCTTTGATATGACCAAAACTATACTGCACGTTTGAGTAACAGTCTTACCAAACGGAAAAGCCGAAATGGTATCTGTCGGTCGCATGGGCCGCTGCCTCCTTGCCTGTCTGGCCCATGGGTCGGAAATTTCACCACGTCATGCCGTCCTCCATCATTCGGAACGCTAAGCCCTTCAACTCCTCCTTTTCCCTCCCTTGCACTGGGCTTCAATGCGAACTGGGGCAGCAAAGATGCGCCAACCCCTGCGCTGACTCCACAGCTTCTAACTGGCTAGTCGCTCCTCAGCCCTCAGGAAGGGTATTCCAACGACGCTTGAGATCTGTTGGAATAAGCTTGGGAGAGCGGATCACATGTGCCAGAAAAAAGAAAACAAAAATATTAGAGGTAAGACTTGTAGGAACGTCATTTCTCCTTACCAAATTTCTCTTCTTGTACGGCTGGCCTCAATGGAATGTCGGATTTAAAGAATCAGAACAGAAACTCACGCCATCCGCCCAAGTTGTAAGGCCTCGGCTGGAACCATGTAAAACGAAGACCATCTAGGCAATTATCCATGTGATAATGTTTCTTCTTCTACTGAGACTATCGGACGTCCCATTCAAACAATGTGATGCTACCTCTCATCGGCTCATTACAGCTCATCTCGCTGCCTGACTTCCTCCTGCACCCCTTGCCTTGTTTCATCGCTGACGGTCTGGTCAGCTTCAACCTCACCAGCAAGCTTCCCTTCAACATCACTGTCGTTTTCAACGATCGACTCCTCGCCGATCTCTGCCGGCATCTCCTCCACAATCTTACCCACCTTCTCTACGAAAGACTCGGGATCTCCACCGGCTGCTGCCGATCGCTGCGGCTCCCGTACGTTGATGGTAGGCAGCGAATCATCCGGTAGACCCTCGACATCAACCTTGGCCTTATCGGCCACGGCCGACTCCGATGCCTTCCCTCCGGAACCAGCATACTTGACCACTGCTCCGCCACTGCCAATGGTGATATTGAACATCAGCCGCAATGGCAGCCAAAGCAGCCACCATAGAGGCCCGTACAGTAACCTTCGGAACAGCAGCCACGCGCCCGTTGCCATCAGCATGTAAAGCGCGGTCTGTAGATACCACGTATCGCTCTTCTGAGATCGTAGCAACGTGCCCAACAGGTCTTTCGAACTTGCTAGCATAGTATCGAGAGAGCCGTATGACTCGTTGAGCTGTGCCAGTGCCGCCGATGACTCCGTCAACGTTTGGTGCGCAAACTCGCTGCGCGCGAGCTCCGCCGCAATCAAATCGTGCGTCCGTCGAAGAGCGCTTGTCACATTACTGCTCGCTCCGACCGTCTGTTTGTCGTCCTCCGTCAACGAGCTAGCATTATGGCTGTCCCGGGTCTGGTGAACATGTCGATGCCGGACGACATCGGGCAATTGTGCCTTTTGGGCACCGAGTAAAGGAGAGGATGCTTCGGAGACTGGCTGGGAGTATGACTGCAGCAGAAGCTCACGCTCAAGGCGCTGCGCCTGGGACAGGTTGTGTTTCGCTGCCAGTTGTGCTTTGCGGAAGGTGACTCGGGAGCTGTGTGCAGACCAGTCAGCAACCAAAACCCACCAATTCTTAATATATTCATGCCGTAGAATTCATAGCCTCCTCACCTCTTGAGTTCTTGCCTCAACCGGTCCAGGCCATCCTTAAGACGGGTCTTTGTATGCTCGGCTTCGCTTCCTGGTCGGCCGGCCCTGAGATCCTCAATCTCCTCCCCCAAGAGCTCTAATTCGTCCTCCTCTTCCCTCAATATCTGACTGATCTCTGAGCTCAGTTCTGCACTGACACTACTGTCCTCATCTGTTCCTAACGGCACAGAGCCAGGTTGAAACTTGAGGTTCTGGAGCCTTTCGATAAGCTCCTTCAGCTGAGACGTGGTCTCTTGCAGGGCTGTCAGCCGCTCCTGCAGACCCTCGAAAGACATACTTGTACTCGCTTATTCCTTGAAGTTCACGTATGATTTGGTGTTCGAGAAATTAATAGTTGGTGCTGCAAGAAAGTGTGTCCCTGGTCTTTCGGTAGGGGGTAAAGCTGGCCTTTACCGGTGACGAAATGTGTGGTGGGATTCCGTTGGAAACGTCCCTTAACCCCGATATACCGATATTCCTATTAAAGAGGTGTCAAGCCACAACTCGCGGCGTCCAAGCTCCCGCTTCCCGAACACGAGCCACGCGACCCAAATTTTTGGCGACAGCTTCACGTCTTTGCGAAACGCAGACCATATTCGACATAGCCTTTTAAGCTCGCACGCAGACTGCCGACGAACCTTCACGACACCCGCAGCACTCAATTGATACCGCAAGGCACGCGTCCTTGCACCCATTAGCCCAAGATGATTACCAAGTTCATGACCGAGATTACCACAAAATTCAACCCCTTCTCTCCTTCAGCCAGGTCTGCTCGGCTCTTCCTCTCCTTTATCCCCCCCACGGCCCGCTCGACTGGCATGACGATCAACACCACACTTCTCCCAAGGACGTCGACGGAGCCTCCCTCTCTTTATGTTAAGTTCAGTACGTTTCCCGTGCCGTTGATATTTGCCTGACGATCAGTGACTAATTAGCTTCCCAGAGGACGGCAAGGAGATGAACCTCGACTGCGAACGTATGGGAATCAAGGGGCTTATCGAGGAGGTTGACCGACACTCCAGAGGTCTGCAGAAGCAGGCTGACTTGACCGACTAAGCGGTGAAATGCGACAATTGTGTATTATTATGGCATTTGCATGTACGGTACGGCGTTTTTATGGGACGGATACGAACAATATCCTTAGGGATATTCCGATTGAAATATAATTGGCGGCTCAAAAGTGTAGCATGTACGAGAGGAAGAGGCAGTCATTATGAAGATGACACTGGCTGACACTGGCCTGTATATAGAGCCTTTGGATGCAAAAGAAACCCTGCCCAGGCGACTCATTCCCAGCTCATCTTCAAATGCATAGTAAAACACTGGGCCATATTATTTCGATGTGAGGTACTTTTTTACTTTTTGGTATTTTAAAGATGATGCCTCTGGGCCGTTGGCTTCGGCTTCGTGTACGACTATTTCTACTAATAACAGCGACCGATATTCCAAGAAACCACCGACTACAGAGACATTTCACGGTACCAAGTCAAGACGACATGGAGCGCGCTTATGCGGAGGCACCGCTGATGAAGAACCACTTGTCAATGGAAGCATCAATCTTCTCAGCAGGGAGCTCCTGGTGCTGGGGCAGAGGGGGAAGCTGCTCAGCACTGATGCGGGCGGGGGACTGGTTGACGGTGACGTTGGCACTGTGTGAAGGTGTTAGTTTCCAAGTTCTCTCTCGATTGGCTTGCCAAGCTATGGCGTGATGGTCAACTTACGTGGAGACAGAGCCGGCCGCGGTCTTGCCGGTGATGAGTCTCTCCCAAGCCTCGGCGCACTCACGGACAACGTCCATAGCGTAGCTGCGGGATTTGTTAGCTATCATGCGCGAAGTGTCGGAAAAACGTTGTAGCTAACCTCTTGTTCTTGCACTCGCCAGTGAAGGCAAACTGGTTCTCGGGCTTTCCGTCAGGGATCTTGTAGATGCGGAACCACTCGTTGGTGGCACGGAGAAGACCGGGCAGGTGACGCTCGACGTCCTCAACGTCGTTGAGCTTAGGAGCCAAGGGGTCGTTCACGTCGATGACAATGACCTTCCAGTCAGTCTCCTCCTCGTCAAGGAGGGCCATGACACCGAGGACCTTGACCTGCTTGACCTGTCCGGTGTAGCCAACAAGCTCACCGATCTCGCAGACATCGAGCGGGTCGTTGTCACCCTTGGCCTTAGTCTCGGGGTGAATGGCATTGGGGTCCTCCCAGGTCTGGAAGGCGGGTTAGACAAGTTTACCTGCGACAGTTTAGGCAGCGGAATCGTACCTGGGGGAAGGCACCGTAGTTCCAGAGGTAGCCCTTGTGGGGGAAGCAGTTGCGGACGTAGCGGAGCTTGCCCTTCTTGATGTCCTGCTTGATGGGGTTGAGGAGTTCCTCCTTGGAGATCTGTGATGAAAGGTGTCGGTCAGTGCCACATGTTCAATGTGCTCAATAGAGTTCTTCTGTTGGTAGGTGCAACAAAAAACATCTAAACTAGACTGAAGATGGGATAAGAGATCAATCATACCTCAAGCTTGGCGTTGGTCCAGCGAGGGATCTCGACGACCATGTTCAGGATGGTCTGCTCGGCGTTGGCGTACAGGGGAATATCGTGGAAGGGGGAGACGGGAACGCCATCCTTCTCGATGTAGACGCGGTGCTCGAGGGTGTTGGGAGCACCGACCTTGCGGACGGAGTACTGGGAAGCCATTGCTGCGTCTGGTTGGTGATGCAGGCTAGGGTCAGAGTCTTTGGAGATGGTAGAGAAGTGGCGGGCAATCTGTGCGGTGCGTTGGGAGGGAATTTTGCTTTTAATATCCGCTGCACCAGTTTGTGATGGAGGAGGAGGGGTGCGGTTGGCGGATGATGCAAGGAGGGATGGAGGGGGAGGGGTAGCAGGCCCGGCTGTTAGCTTGATGTGTGCCGCCAGGGTTGCTGAGTGATTGGCCCGGTACGGGGCCTGAATCGGGGACAGAGGTGAGAAGGTGGAACGGGGGCTGGGTCGGGCGGAAGGTACGCGAAGACCAAGAGGCCGCAGTGAAGGAACAGCAGTGCTGACAGGTGTCTTGGTGAGGGACGGCTGCAGCTTAATGCCTCGTGGGAGCTGCATGTATACAAAGTGTCCTGAAAAGGAGGGAAGAGAAGGGGAAGTGCCAGGAATTAGGGGGTGTTTAAACTCTGTTACAGAGGCGTCTTCCAGCTAAGTCAAGTCAGTCTCTCAGGCTTGACCCGAGGTTCATTGGGGAAGAGTTGCGCAAGACGCTAAGACGAGGGCCGAAGCCGGTCAGGTCATCAACTGTCAGAGGGTCTCCGGAGCTCACCTTGGGTACTCGCGGCAATCGGGGTGGTAGTAGCTGCTGACACGGAGCCAGGGAGAAACCGGGAGAACCTTTTCTGTCTCTCTCCCCTCTGTCGCGACAGCAACCTTGCCGAAAAAAATTCTTTACGCCTCACCGTGGCTCAGTCGCCCAACCCCTGCAACCTGCCCCTCCTTACCCCTCCATGGCCGGAGCAGCTTCACCATGTTCATTGTTGGGTCCATGAATTGACATGACTATATCAAGCATAGGAGCTAACAAGGGGGTCAATTGCAACAGCCGCATGAGGTGACCATGATGTCAACTTCAACTGGTTATCCATCAGCATCGTCTGGACTATAAGTTGGCTAGAAGTGATTTTCGCCGGCGAGAACTTTGAGATGATTGTCGTCTAACAGTTCGCCCATAGAGTGTTTTGCCATTCCTAGACTAGTTGTCGCATCAGAAGTCAAGCTGTCCCGAGGTTCGACAACAGACTTCTTACAGAAGTTCACCATCTCAACAACAACCAGCTTCCTTGTCACGTTTCATCGGAGAGAAGGAAAAATCTTTACCCGTTCAGATCTAGAAGTCCGGCTACTGAACGAGATACTATAATGATATCCGAAGCTGATACCGTCAAGACCCGGCTTCTTGTTATTTCAGACACTCATGGACGGCAACTCGAGTATGAACAAGAGGCGGATGTGGCTATCCATTGCGGTGACTTGACAAACGAGTCTAAACTAGACGAATACCGGTCCGTGATCAAGAACCTTAGCAGCATCAAGGCCCCTCTCAAATTGATTGTGCCTGGCAATCATGACTTCTCCCTGGACATACCCCAGTTTCAGAGAAAGATTGACCAGGTGCGACAACAGTATGCGGACTCGAAAGGCAAAGATTTTGCCAGAAAGTATGGTGCTCCGGGAGACGCTCACCGTCTGTTTGAGGCAGCAAGCGATGCGGGAATTGTTTTGCTCGACCAACAAGGACTTCACATATTCACTCTCACCAACGGTGCTCGCCTGACTGTATATGCTAGCCCGTACACTCCCCACGCTGGTGGGTTTTGGGGCTTCCAATACCGTTTCGAAGAAGGCCATGATTTTGACATTCCAGAAAGAGTGGACGTAGTCATCACACACGGCCCGGCCCTAGGCCTCCTGGACTATTCGAAAGCTAACCCAAGGGCAGGGTGTCCAGATTTGCTAGCAGCCGTTGAACGTGCCCGGCCCCGGTTACACTGCTGTGGTCATATTCATGAGAGTTGGGGTGCCCAGTTAGTAACTTGGAACGATGGATCAACCGACCGACATGAAAAGGCGAGCGGAATTAGAGAGATTCTACCCATTGCCAGCTGTCGTGACCTCAAGTTGCAAATGGCAGATTCACAAGGGAAAGCAGAAGTCAAAAAGAGAATGGCGAGACGGTATTCTGCTGAGATGTGTTACAAAGCAAGTCATTGTGAAGGAGACCCGCATCCGCTCAAGCACGGTGAGCAGACACTGTTCGTCAACGCTGCGATTGAAAGCGCACCAGGCGAATTAGCACTGCATTATCCATGGGTCGTCGAAATTGAGCTGCCCAAAGCGAGGAGGGAGCATGATAAGGGTATAGCGGCAAATGCATGAACCTGACATAGAAAAATAATAAGTGGGGATATGTCCAGTAAAAGCTTATCGATAAAGTCCCATTAGATACTTTCTGTTGCTAACCCGTCAAGGCATCGCCGCATGAGTGACCCTCCCATCAAATACTCGCATTTCTGTTGTTGAAAGCTATGTAGTGTATTTTTCTTGTCTTGTCATGTCCGTTCGCACGCTGTTCAAGACCATGGGATCCGAAATCAAGAAAGTCCCCATCCCCCGCCGAGGGGTCGACTACAGGGGCAAGATCGTTCTTGCGCCCATGGTTCGCTCCGGCGAACTTCCATCTCGCCTCCTGGCTTTGCACTACGGCGCAGACTTGGTCTGGGGTGAGTCGCAAACCACCAGGCACTCCTTATTTTAACTTACAAATCTTTAGGTCCCGAAACCGTCGACAAAGCTATGATTGGCACTACGCGCCGAGTCAACCCTGTCACCAACACTATCGACTGGACCAAGATTCCTTCCTTCGGCCAGAAGAACCCCCCGAAGACGATTCCTGAAGCCGTAGTCTTCAGCACACACCCGGAGAAAGAGGCTGGAAAGCTGATCTTTCAGATCGGAACGGCCGACCCGGACCTGGCGGTTCAGGCAGCGAGACTTGTCGCTGCTGATGTGTCCGGCATAGATGTCAACGCCGGTTGCCCCAAACCCTTCAGTATCAGTGGAGGAATGGGCGCGGCGCTGCTGAAAACGCCTGACAAGCTCTGCGCAATCCTAGAGGCTCTTGTAGCTAACATCATGCCCGAGTTCGAAATCGGCATTAGCGTCAAAATCCGTCTCCTCGATACTCCAGAACAGACCGAGGCTCTTGTGCGAAAGCTTTGCGCCACCGGCATCACCGGTCTTACGATTCACTGCCGCACCACTCCTATGCGGCCTAGAGAACGTGCGATTCGCGAGCAGCTTCGGATGGTGGCAGGCGTGTGCCATGATGCCGGGGTCGCCTGCATCATGAACGGTGATGTCGAAAGCCGAGACCATGCGGTGGACCTTATTAAAGAGTACGGTGTTGATGGTGCCATGATTGCAACCGCCGCTGAGGCAAATTCGAGCTGTTTCAGATCGAAAGAAGACGGCGGCGTCGCAGGTTGGGAAGAGGTCGCTGCAGCATACATTAAGTATGCATTGGAGGTCGACAACAAGTTCGGCAACACTAAATACTTGCTTTGTCAGATTGTTCCTGGGAAAAGTGGAATGTACCAGAAGATGAATCAGTGCAAGACCTATACTCAAGTGTGTCGCGCGCTTGGTCTTGAGGATCTCATGGAGCTCGCTCAGCAGACAGACATAAACAAGGGCATCGATCCGGAAAAGACGGGGAAGGCGGGCAAGATGTCCAACCCGAGCGCCATGGCGGCTGGAGGCAAGATGACGGGAAACAGATCCAGTCAGGCGCCCCGAAAGAAGTCTGAAAGAGGCGTCACTGTTCCTGCTGACAAGCAGCAAGCATCTGTTCCCCTCCAAACGTAAGATGGGGCTTTCGACATATAATACCGGAGGGGTTTGCATCAATGGCGTTCGGAGAAGTTGGTACAGAGCATAGCGAAACGATATCCATTCGGGAGTCAGGCCGAAGGGGAAAAAAAACCAAAAGGTAACTTTGGCCTTTTTTATACGTAGACTTCGCATATATATATATATATATATATATATATATATATATCAGTAAACATCTGAAATTGGCTGAGCAATTTATTTTCTCGAACATGACTTCAAGATGTTAAAATTGTGTGAATTACAAAGGAACCGTCAGATGCGACTCTGTTCGCTTCTGCTTCTATGATACAGTCCCAACCTTCCTTTTTATTTGCCCTTCTTCACCCAGTCTTCAACGGACTCACGAGCATCCGTAACCTTCTCATCAACATATCGTACACCAATCTGGCTGTGAATCTTGGCCGCCCTCCAGCTGTTCTCGATGTTCTCGCGGAGCTTGAGGTGTCCCTGGGCGACGACGGGGAAGCGCTGCTCGTACTTCCAGGCAAGGTTGGATACGTTACCCATGGTGATGGGCAGGACAGTCCAGCCGGCGGTGATACCGAGAGCCAGCGGCGCGGTGGCGCGGAGCAGGATGCTTCGGTTGCGGGTGATGATGCTGCCTGCCATGGCGGCAACGAGGACATAGATGGCGCCCGGCATCAGCTGCTCGCCGCTCTCACGCGGAGGAGCCAGGGAGGCAATCGTGCTGGTAAAAGACTGCTCAAGGTTGAAAGCACGATCCATCGTCCGGTTGACAGCATCCTCGGCACCTATGGCGTACTGGTACAGGCCCAGGCGCGCCTTGCCGATCTGGACGGCGAGACGCTCAGTGGGCGTAGGGCCTCTGGGTTTGGAGGGTTCCTCGGCCAGAGGGGGCTGCTCGGTCCGGGGAATCGGAGGAGGAAGGGTTCCGCTGGTCGGGGGAAGCTCCGGTTCATCGTAGATGGGCTTCTTGGCCTGCGGCTGGATTAGTACTGCATGTCTGCCGATGGCCTGCGTCGCATTCGCACGTACCTGGCTGGTCTCAGGAGCTTCAGCGTGGACGGTTCGGGGAGCCAGGGCGAATCCTCCCATCAGAACGGTCGCTGCCAACGGCGCGGCGCGCTATTAATTTCACGTCAGTGGTCAAATAAAATACGAAATTGATGATGGAAAAGAACGTACCCGTTGTAGCAACACTCTAGCAGCCATGGTCCACTCAATTGGTCGATTGAGGGAATTGGGTCTTGGTCTCGCGAGAATTATTTGAATGTCATGAATGATGCACAAGCAGGCAAAGCCTCTAGGCCCACGGTGCGGCTATTTCCGGAGCTCGGGAATTCGATTATGCACTGCACACCCTTGCACAAAAAGTCCGGTCCACGTCCCGGTTACGCAGCTAATCGCGTTGCCGACATTTCTCCCTTACCCAGACATTTCCCCAGTTTCCGACGCTTGATCCAAGGTTAAGTCTGCCAACTTTCCTTTCCCTGCATTTGCGGTTCTACTTGTTGCCTCAGCCTGTAGTTATGATCGAAGCGTCGTCGAGCTATTCATAATGTTCAAATCCCCAAGCCGCGGCCTCTGGGTCTGCACACAATGTGTTAGACAAGCTTCCAGTGGCCAACAGCGCCGGTGGATGGCCGCCGTGTCCCGCGCTGCTTCCTCGAGCCTCCCCGCCGATCATGCACCCCCGGGTAGAAATACTGACGATGCGATCCTCCGCGAGCTCTTCGACTCCCCTTCCCGTGCTATGAAAGCATTCAAAGCAGAAGGACCCAGCGTTGGCTTGTTCAAGAACCGATACCTCACCAGCCCGAATGGCTTCTACATTTTCGCCCGTCGAAGCTTAGACAAGGCTCAAAGGATTGTCCACCGAGTCCTTCATGCGTCGATTATATCTGAATACCAGGCCATTGTTAAGGATCTGGATCGTCTAAGCGATCTGCTCTGCAGAGTTCTTGATCTATCTGACTTTGTCAGAATGACGCATCCTGATCCGAAGTTTCAACAAGCAGCTGCGGGGGCTTGGTCTCTGGTATACCAGTATATGAACCAGCTAAACACCATGACTGGGTTGAGTGACCAACTCGTTAAAGCCATGGATAATCCAGACGTTGTTGCATCTTGGTCAGAGGAGGAAAGAACGGTTGCGGAGATATTGAAGTTGGACTTCACCAAGTCAGCTGTCGACCTACCCCAACAAGAACGAGATCGATTCGTGGACCTCTCGCAGCAGATAAGTGAAGTCGGGTCTATGTTTGTCTCTGACATGGCTCCCGCAAAGAGAGAAGTCGTGCTGCCATCCTCGAGTTTTTACGGGTTGTATCCAGGAATCGCCCGAGCACTCACAATGAGGGGCAAGTTGCGCCTCCCTACTACTGGACCTGAAGCCCAGGCCGCGCTCCGAAGCGTCAAGGACGAAAACACGCGGAAAGAAGTTTTTACCGCGATGCGCACTGCATCGAAGCAGACTATCCACTTACTGGAGACTATGCTGAAGCTTCGATCAGAGTTGGCGAACCTGGCCGGTTTCTCGAGCTATGCTCACCTCTCATTGAAAGACAGGATGATGGCCAAGTCTCCCAGCGCGGTGTTGCAGTTTCTTCACGCGCTGCAGAAGTACAACACACCCATTGTGCAGGAGGAAATGGCGGACCTCTTAAAGCTGAAGCAGACTCGTCTTGACAGCACTGCTACTCAGGTTCACCCATGGGACAAGGATTTCCTTATGGACGGGGTGCGCGCTGAGATGAGACTTCCCGTCCGCCACCCTGATCATCTTCCATCCTTCTTCTCGATCGGAACTGTCATGCAGGGCATGTCAAGGCTGTTCACCCGTCTGTATGGCATATCCTTTAAGCCTAGAGAGTCACAGCCAGGTGAGACATGGCACGAGGACGTCCGACGATTGGACGTCGTCACTGACACGGGAGAGTTGATTGCTGTCCTGTATTGCGACCTGTTTTTCAGAGAGGACAAGTCCCCTAACCCTGCCCACTTTACAGTGCGGTGCTCCCGAGCAATCGCTCCCTACGAAATCCAGGAGGCCGCGGAGGACTTGCACAACAACTCGTCTGGCATGCCCAAGTTTGATAGGGCAGAGCAAGCTGCCAACGACGGTATGGAGAGCTTGCAGCAGGATGGCGTCCTGATGCAACTGCCTACCATTGCCCTGGTCTGTGACTTTCCGAAGCATGATGCGAGCAGCTCAGCGCCGGCGCTTTTGTCTTACTACCAGGTCGAGACTCTTTTCCATGAAATGGGCCATGCCATCCACTCCATCCTCGCTCGTACCAAGTTTCAGAACGTTGCTGGCACCAGATGCGCAACAGATTTTGCGGAGCTCCCGTCTACGCTGATGGAGCACTTCGCTGCCGACCCGTCAGTGCTAGGATTGTTTGCACGCCACTGGAAGACAGACGAGCCACTTCCCTACCAGATGGTTGCGGAGAGAATCCGCCTAGCTAAGCGATTTGAGGGCGTTGACACTGAGAACCAAATCCTCCTCTCCCTGCTTGATCAGGCCTACCATTCCCCTGAAGTGGCTGATCCCTCCTTCAACTCGACGACAGTCTACCACAACCTGCAGAAGCAATACGCTCAGGGTGGACCCGACCCCCCAGGCACCTGCTGGCAGGGCTTCTTCGGTCACCTCCACGGGTACGGCAGCACCTACTACAGCTACGTTTTCGATCGTGTTCTAGCCGAGCGTGTCTGGAGAGTCGTTTTCTCCGCAGGCGCGGACGGTAAGGCGTTGGATCGGGCCAACGGCGAGCGGCTCAAGGAGAACCTCTTGAAGTGGGGTGGCAGCCGCGATCCATGGCAATGTCTGGCAGACACGCTGCAAGATGATCGCCTCGCCAAGGGTGACGATAAGGCCATGGCGCTCGTTGGTAGCTGGGGCATCAAAGACGATCACGCTTGAGGTGTTGATACCATCTCTGTATTATTATTATAGATGTAAAGATAATGTCGTGGTAGCATGCTACACGATTTTTACTATAGATGCATATAAAGGAGTTAAAGCGCTCGGCTTTACTGTACCGGTGGCGTCGACCGGTCTGCATCCTTGAAGGGCTGCCGTCAATGCTTATCTTGCTAACTTCCTTTTACCGCTTGGGCTAGCTCCAAACCAGAGGCGCGATCCTCTCATCTCTCTGTTATAAACACTCCAAGATCCCCTCGCTCATCAAACATCATTTGCTGCGTATCTTTCTCTTCACGATTTTGACGACCATGATGTTTGTTTTAAGCTTATTATTATTGGCTCTCGTAGGGCAAGGAGCATCACAAACCCCGGCGCCTTCTGCCACCTCGACTGCTACGCCATGCTACGTATGACACCACTACCCCATTTCATTTGACACACAACAGTTATTGAATGACATGTTTTGCGATACAGGCCCGCTGCTTTTCGCAATTTATGGTGGATCAGGCCAACTCGTGCAAGACGAAATGCGTTTGCGCCGGGTCGAAGTCGTTATTGGACTTTGACTGCTGTATGGCGGGCTGTCCCGCGGATCAACAGTCGACTGTAACGCCCTTCTTGCAGAATTCCTGCGACGACGGCAAGTCCATTGCCCTCAAATTCACATGCGGGGCGAACAGGACCACCTCAACGTCAGCCGTGTTCTTGATGTCAAACCCAACAGCACTTGTCACCTCTCTGATTCTAGTGACTGCGCAAACTACTCAGCAAAGCACTCCGACAAGTACCAGTGGAGCAGATAGTAGTGCCAGTAACGCCGGGAGTGGCGGCACTCCGCCAGCCGTCAGTCTGGGGGTTGGACTCGGGGTGGGTTTGCCTTTGGCGGCGCTGGTTGTCGGCGGGCTTGCGCTGCTCTGGAGGAGATCGAGGCGGAAGGCGGACACGAAGGGTTGCATATCCGGTTCCGAAGGAGGAGTACCAGATGGTTTGGGGAGGACTTTTGTGTTTCCTAGCACCATGGTGCTTCCCACCCCGGAGATGTCGGTCAAAGACTTTATGTGGGATCCTATGGTAACTCCCGATGACGCGTCGGCTGAATATGTACAGCAGCAGGAGTTGTCAGTTTGAGCTCAATATAAAGTACGATCATATACCTTTAACCTTATCCGGCTTGAAAGTCTAGCGATGGAAATGATTCATGAGCAAAACTGACTATTATAACTTCACAATACACGCCGGCCAAGGACTACGTTATCAAGCCTACATAGTCCATGTACATCATTTTCTCTTTAACGCACGGGCTTGCCCCTATCTAAAAAGACCACCCATCAACACTGGGTTTTCATCAGTTATAGTCTTATCTATGCAGTCTTTATCAATGATTAGGTTACGTTCTAGTTGCTGATGCCCCAGGCGTAGCATAAGGATCATCGTCCGAACACCCCCTGACCTTGCTGGGAAGTTCGCCTAGCACGAAACGCGTGTCATCCGATGACTAACGTCGCACACCCACTTCTCGCACACCCCCACATTTCGCACACCCATAAATTGGGTCATCATGAGGTATTCATCAACTTCATAACTATAAGTCTGATTCGTCTCCTGCAACTGTGATACTATCGCCAGTTTTAATAGGTAATTCAGGCTCGCTAGATTCATCTGAGCTATCCTCAATTTCGCCAGCCTCAATTTGGGCTTTGTGAATTGCCTCAATGTTGGCAAACTTCGAATTTGGGCTCATTTGGACCTTACGCCGCTTCCGTACCATTCCAGCCTCAACTTCTGCTTCCAACATTGCAATCTTCTTCTCTGCTGTAGCCAATTGATAGTCCTTTTCATCAAATCCCTTTTGAACCTTCCGAAACAACAGTCGCTGCGTTTGCTGATCTTTATCCAACTTGCTGAATAAGCTAAGTTGATCATATAGATCAACTGTCTTCTTGGGCGTTGACCAGGCTACTATGGATGTAGCAGATGCCCAGTTTTCGTCTTTTCCACCATCAGAGGCCCTCATAGGCGTAGAATAGCCTGGCTTTGAGGGCTTGGAAGCATTCTCAAGCAGTAGAGGGCTCATGAGCGGTCGAGCTATCGAAATGGGCCATAGTCCTGTTGCTTTCCAGCCGCTTCTGATATTCTTGCTTGAAAATGCCATCTGGCGTGCTTTTCCATAGCAGGTAAGAAAGTTCCGTTTGCCTACAACTGTAGAATCGTTGTGTTGAATGAGGTATCCAAGCTCTTTTCGATAGGTCGCCTTGAGAGGCCCAAAGACTGCTTGGTCTAGAGGTTGGAGAACGTGGGATGTATGTGGCGGTAGGAAAAGGAGATATATCTTGTGTTTATAACAGAGATACATAAATTCTGTTGTTTCATGACTGCCATGACCGTCTAGGATCAATAGTCTCTGCTCAGAGGGATGATCAGGCTTAGTCAGAGGGATAAAGATGTTCTCAAGCCATTCCACAGCTGTAGAGTCTGAAGTCCAGCCATTCTCAGTTGCTGTGAACTTCCAACCACTGTAAATATCACGTTTATGGATATCAAGAGGAAACCATTGTTGTTGAACCGATTTCCCTCGATAAATAACAAGTGGAGGAAGCGCCTGACCAGTTGCAGAGACACACTCAAGCATAGTTGTCCAAGCCCGAGACCCAGGCTGTTTTTTTCGCATTGATGAGCTTTCTGATGATCCCAGTACTAAGCCATTTGATCCTCTGCCTTCTAGGATACCAGTTTCATCCATGTTATAGCGATGATGTGGTTTGATCGCCTTGATCTCTGGAAGGGCGAGTTGTTGAAACCATTGCCTGATTACATTAGTTGAGGCCCCATTGACACGCTTAGAATCGATGGCTCTAGCTCTATGAACCTTGATTGATGGATTTCTCTTAATAAAGAACTGAATCCAGTTTCTCCCAAGTGGCTGGGTAGTGCCTCTGATGTCTAGGATTCGCTGGGCAAATTCCTTGAGTTGTTGATGTGTTGGCGGCAGCCCTAACGCCGCCTGGATACGCACCCATTCAGCTAAGTGACTTTCCTGTGCTGGAGATAGCTTCTGGAAGCTAGAGAAAGCTACATTTCTTGCCTGTGAACCCTTTAATCGAGACTGGAGGGTTGATGGTGGAATTCCAGCATCATGAGCTGCCTTTCGGACACTCTGCCCACTTGCAACTGCATTGAGAGCTTGATTGACTTCTGTTTCCGTATACTGGCCCATTAAGCGTATAAGAGTAACTATTCAAAGAATTATAATAATCGCTGTAAAAGTGGTGAAGATATTAAAGAATGTTGAAGAGGGTAAAATTCTACATGAGCGATTTATGGGTGTGCGAAATGTGGGGGTGTGCGAGAAGTGGGTGTGCGACGTTATACAGGCTGGAGTGCGCAGAATGTACATGACTATTTCGAGTCAACTCCACTACTATCTCCCAGTTGAATTGGTAAGGAGGTAAGCGATCGGCATATCGGTGAGTGTATGTTGCAAGCAACACATCCTTGGAACTGTGGGACAGTCTCACTCCATTGGTCAACTAGTCCTTTTATTTCCTAATTCAGTTCAAAGTAGAAGTTTTTAATATCACATAGTTTTTTCCTGCTGACATATTAATTTAACTCGTCTCGCGGACACAAGTAAATGTCCGGAGTTGAGGAATCAAGAGTTAGGGGCCCAGTCATAGGACGTATCGAAACAAGAAATATGCCTCTGTTGGGGAGAGTCTGGACAACAAATAAAGGTTCTCGGATCTACGCGCAATTCAAGTCCTCTGCAAGCCATCCCAAGTCTTTCATCACTTAAAATCCAACTCCTTGTTGAGAACGTTGTAACATCCACATATCTTTGATCCCAAGATGCGTCAAACAGGCACTTTAGCGTTTCTGGCACTTTTGCTTGCACCATTAGTCTCTGCCGAGTGCCAGGACCGTATCACCCCATGCGTAAGCGAGAAGTCTGCAAGAAGTTGATCGGAATCCCGCTAACTCCACGCTCCAGTCTCCTTGGTCCGTTTGCACCAACTTGGGTGCCGCCCAAGTCTGTGGAACAACAGAATATGCCAGCGGCGGCTGTCTCAAGCAACTTACCGGCGGCAACTCTGGCGCCGTTCGTGTAGGTTTCATCTCTTGATTATTTCCATCAGTTCGCTACAAATCTGACCCTTTCAAGTGCAACTGCTGTCCCAAATAATCCTTGGCGAAGCGTCTCTTTGTTTCCCCGACGTTTTGGGGGGAAAGGCATATGTGGAGCTGTCCAGTCTTTGAAACTGAACCATTTAGGGGCAAAACATGGTGATGTTTAGCGCATCATCCGTGTTGAGTTGTTCTCGTTGACCTACCGGGCGTGCTTGCCATCTGTAATATTGGTCTATGCCCAGCGTTTCTGTGGGTTAACCGCATGTAAAACAATCCTTAGAAGACCGGTTATTAGAACTATAATTTGATTCTCACAGATAGTCTATCCAATTCCACTACAGTGAGCATGTACTACTACTAGTAGAAAGGTGCTTCAGTCTAGGAGGCTTACACCTATTTTTTCAAAAGCCCGCAACGAAACACTGAGCTTGCCCATGGTTCACGAAGAATCCAAAATAACAGAGGCTTCTGAAGTTCGTCATGTCTAGTTGTTTTCAGAGTTGATGATTCGTGATGTATAGAATTCATTTGATGCCTTGAGAAATAATAGGTGGGGAAGCACAACGGCCTTGCTGCAATCCAAGGCGATGGCGCACTAAAGCCCCCGAAACCACAGGACCCTGAAAGCTTCTAAAATTGGCAACAAAATGGGGATGGCCTCATCCTTTTCCACATGCTCCGTGGTGGGCCATGAAAACATCCCCCGGCAATAAAAACAATATGTGGTGGGTGGTAGCATGTCGTCGGTGGCGTGCATGTTGCAACTCGGTACTTCTCACCCAGGAAATGGGTCCCAAATCCGGGTTCTTAAGCCGTGTGCCCCCAGCGATCGGCCTGCAGATCTCGGGCAGGTCCTGCCAAGTCTTATCAGAACACGGAGCCAACCAGTGCAACCAGACTCCATACATGATTTCATTGAGCATCCTGTGAACAAGTCTTAATCCTGATTATGTGCCAAGACATTTCGTCTTTAGCTGAATGCTGATAGAAAAGTGTGCGCTCTCTCCCAGCCCGGAAGACTCTTCTGATGTCAGGGGAGGAATGAAGAGTTTTCAATTATTTTGTTGGCTCCGTCAAGAGTAATACTGCCATGCTTTAGCATCTCTCGATTTTTGGCAGTTTTGCTTGAATTCCTTACCAACCACATTCGCTTATACCTACACTCGCTTAAGACCATAAACAAAGATGACGCCGAGAGATAGCATGACCGTATGGCTCCCGAAGGAGCTGTACAGTTCCGTCCAGCCTTTTGCCGACCTGCGATATATATGGTGCCCAATGCCGTTTGATGACTCTCTACCGGTGGAGCAGACATCTTTCATCCAAATGGGGGGAGACCATGAGAGTACGGATGTTCAACAACCAGCTGTGGAAACCAGATCAAAGGCCTATGACCGCAATCGCGACTCTGGTATCGATCTCACCATGCCTTCGCCTCCTCCGAGCATTGATACATTAGCCGAACCAACGGATACGTCCTGTTCGGAGGCCGAGTCTGAGAAAGAGTTCCCTCTAAGGAGAATAAGCCAGAACCTTAGCCAAGGCAGGCGAAAGGCGCGGAAGCCGCACCTGCAACGGCCAGGTTATTCCAAATCAGAGGATAACGAGAAACGTCCGGCACGCGAAAGCAGAAGCTTTGCGGTGCATTTGGGGTTGAATATCGATATCGAAGTGACTCTGACAGCAAGAGTTCATGGTGATTTGGAACTCAGCATGCCTGTAAGTCAATGCTTGGTGTTCAGGTAGGGCAACTGGGCATTGTAACTAACACGACATCAGTGAAGAAGTATGAAGACGACGATAATGACGACGAACGAATGAAGCTAAAACCATCGAAAGAGACATTTGAGAGCCACTTTCTGTATGAATTGAGAACTCGCTACTGCGGCCATGGCAGACAGTAGACCCAGTTTGTGCCCAGGGCATGTCGCTCGGCTCTCTTAGCACCACGCGAGTTAAACAAACCTCTCGTAGTCCCTGGAAAAGATGGGTACGGAGGATTAGTTGGCAAAAAGCCACTACAAAATGGAGGCCCAGATTTACCCGAGTTTCCGTCATTCAGCGTTCCTTTTCGTAAGACTTATTCACCACGTGGGAACCATGGGCTTGGAACTTGCGGAATGCCATTTTGTATGGGTGTATGGGAAGAGGCACCTCAACAGCCGCCGAAGCGGTGCCTGTAGTGAAAGCAGAGCATAACTTGGGGGAAGATGGATACTTCGGTTGGTAGCAGCTCACACCGCTAAGAGTTAAGGTATTCGTGTCAATTCTCGAGAATAATCAAACAAATGCCAACAGTGACGACGTTGTGGACAACTAGTGCCGGCATGTCTCAGTAGAGCTGCAGCCACGGCCCGAGGAAACATTTGCAGGCGAGAAATATCATAATGTCGTCGCACATCTAAAGACCGAATCAATCGCTCCGTAAACGTTATTGTGCAACAAGAGTTGCGGCGTTGTGAAAAGCAAGGAGTTGTCGCACTCAGGGTTGTAGCTGTCTAAGCTTTGGAAAGGTCTTACAAGGTTCCAGATTGCCAGTGCACAAAACACCATTGACCACACACAGTTCCCTCCTGTCCCCCCCATCTCAATTTGGTCTAGAACACCCGCCGCACCTCAGCTGTAGTGGGGAGCTTTTCTACAGGCCTGATCCCTGGGTTGGCTGGTGCCCCTACGCGCCTAGTGAGCGGGCGTCGGCCAGCTTGCATGCCGCTAGGCCATTCCTCTGTGTCGAAGGGCATGGCTAAACCGCCTCTGGCGCGCCATCGCGGCGCAGTGGACGGCCGCATAATCTCCTTTTGTACGCCGCCATCTCTGCCGCCACCCCGAATAAGGGAAACGGAAGAAAAATCACTCCAATTAGGCTGCTTATTACGGATAGCTGGAACCTAGCTTTTGTCCTGCGCGCATCATCCTCATCTCACCTCTCAGCCTCGTTTCCATCCTGAAGCAGACCGTCTTCTTCCCACTGGGGATGCATTCATTATGAGAAGAGCGCGCCGAAACTGTCACGAGTTTACTATCTGACTGACCCTTAAATGCCAATCTGCCATATTTCGGCCACCAAAAAAACACGCTGCCGTAGACCCTTCATACTCCGCCGCCGACAGTCGTAATCTTCCGGATTGCGCGCAAAACTGAAGCCTTTGTTTGTCCTCGCCACTAGGCATTTACCACCTGGACTTGCGCTTGGCATAGATTCTCCGGGTCCTTCAACAGATAACTCATCGAGCTACATCACCAATATCCTCAGCATCGGGCATCTTACGCGCAAAAATGGCTCGCAGCATTCTTGTTCGCATGCTTTCCTCTCTCCTCCTCCTCGCCTTTCTCGCCCCTCTCGCGTCGGCGCAAGCTCTCGCCATTTACAAGGAATCCGACAAGTATAAGTACCAAGGATGCTTCAATGAGACGAACGACCTGCCCGAGACAGCCCGTGAGCGCGCCCTTTCGAACGGCGCCAGCAAGGTCTTCGACATGAACGCCAACATGACGGTGCCGATATGCCTCAGCTTCTGCAGCAATGGGACGGATAAGGAGTACAAGTACGCTGGTGTCGAATATTCTCGGTGAGTTTTGTGCCCTCCATTCTTCTCGTTCCGAGTGGGGTTCCAGATGGCGCAATGCTGACACCAATTGGCTGCAGCGAGTGCTGGTGTTCACAGAAGCTCTCGAGTCTGGCGACGAAACTCGACGACTCGGCGTGTGACACTCCCTGTGACGGCAACAAGAACGTGGCGTGCGGAGGCGCCTTGAAGCTCAATGTATACATGATCGAGAGCGGAGGCGCTCGGGTTATGGCCACGGCTTGGGTTCTACTGTTCGCCGGAGCATCCGTGTTCTTCTCTCTATGACATTTACCTGGAGGATTTCCGAGGTTAATTATTTCTTACTTGGGTGGATATATAAAAGGTACGGATGTAGGAGTCCTCTTGATCTAGGCGCGAATAGGTGTGAGGGCACTTGGGAGAACACGTTGGAAGATACCCCTCGGTCTGGATTGTGGTTCTTTAGTCCAATTTCTTGTTCTTTTTCCCCCCACCCCAAAACAGCGTTCATAAAGGCCTCTAGCACTTGAACTGCAAGTTTTGTACGATTCGTATCCTGCCTAAGCGCGGTCCTAAGATATCCTGGCATAACTCGTGAATCATTAACCCTTATAGCTTGAGTGGTCCCAAGCCTCTTCTGTCCACCGCTCTCTGCACCTCGGCTTTGACGTTGATGAGGGCCTTCCTCCAGCTTTGTTTCCCTCTTCCTTCGCTGCCGTCCTCCTCAACCAACCACTCGAGCCACTGCACCAGCTTTGCCGCTTTATGCATGTCTCTCTCCTCCACAACGACCTTGGCCAAATACTTTTCAAACACGACGACATCGTCTTGATGTGGGCCATCTGTCCTGGTCCCATCGTGCCAAGCTTCCATCATGTCCTTGACCTCCTGTGTCGACTTCACAATAGACCCCATGAAACTGGCTTTAGGTGGGGGCGCTGGAAACTGAAGTTTGGTCTGTCCACCAGGTAGAAAGTCGCTTGTTTCTGCCGCATGAGCTTTCCGAGGGGCGTTAAAATTCAGCCCAGAACGCTGAGCGAGGCGCTTCCTCCGATGGTCTTCAATAAGTTCTCGACGGACATCCTCTGGTAACTCAGCAAGAAACTCTGGATCCAGTTCATCCGGCTCTTCCTCCTGGGCGATAGTGGTAGCTCCTTTTTTCGGTAAGAAGCTTGTCTGTAGACGGTTTGCCGCTGCGTCTTGCTGTTTTTCTTTTGTATTGTTCCACAAACTCCTGCCTCCTCTTTTGGTCGGCGTTGTTTGTTTCTTTGGTTGGATGAATCTGTCTTTACGTGGTGACTGCGGTAAGAGGGTTTGGTTGCCCTTTCTACCGTATTGTGCAAGGACCTCTGCCTTCATGTCCTCAGGCAGTGCATTGAAAACCTCCGGATCAACCTGTGATGGGATATCGTCATGGATCGCCGGGCTTTGGCTCCGTGACTTCACTTGAGGCGACACTTGTCGAGCTGCGGTTGGCTTCTGACCTCTTTGTAGCTTGGATCGAATATCGCTCGGTAGCTCAGCTAGTACGGCTGGGTCAACTTGTGATGGAAGAATGAACTGAGTGCCCATGATGTTTAAAGGCGTTTTTGCCTTTTCATCTTTTTCACCAGCGCGTGCCAGCGCCAAGGCTGGATGCACTTTGGGTTTCCGTGGAGTCAAAGGATCGTCTGCAATGGGATCTTGTGCAAAACCCGCACGACTTTGGGTTGCGTTTAACTTTGAAGGGCTTTTTGAATCCTCAATGGGATCCGACTGTGCTTTCTTCGCCGAAGTAGGACCGTTGAAAGTGGGAAATGCCAACCTGCGTTGGCTACTCTCTGGGCCAGTTGGGCCGGATTTAATGGGTTCGAGCTTCGTCAGCTGAACACCGAGGCCACGAAGATCACCAGGACTGAATCTGTAAGATCGAAGAACAGAGACAGCTTCCTTTGCGATCACCTCAGCGTCGTGAGTGGCAACTCCAAACACAATACTCTTGCTGAAACTATCACACTTACCATGACCCAAGTGCTTTGCTGGATCCAAAGGAGCATCCTGAGCCCGGCGCATGATCTTCATTGTGAACTGCCTTCCTTTGACCTGCTCGTTAAGCAGGCGACGTTCCAGTTCTTTGCAAAGGTTTAAAACAAATTCTTCAGCCTCTTGCTGGTTGATGAAGCGTATTCCCCAATTGACTTCTGCTGAAACAGATTTTCTGGGGGGCTGCTCTCCGATCTCAACTCGATCAATGCCGCGGGCATATTCCCAGAGCCTTTCACCAGTCTTTGGCCCTAGAGAGGATGATAACCGCTCCTTTGAGACCTGCCGGATATCCTTGACAAACTTGACACCGATTTCTTCAAGTTTGCCACTGAGGCTATAGGCAACTCCAGGAAGATCCTTGACCTCAAGTTCCCCAATAATGTCAAGTACCTGCTCAGGCTTTATTTGAAATTGCCCGGCAGGCTTCGCTCTGCGAAGGGCAACTTTGGCTAACAGGATGTTGCCTCCAATGCCCACAGATACTGCGCAGCCGGTAGAGGTTTTGATCTTGTTGCGAAGCTCAAGGGCGATTTGCTCTGCCTTTTCTTGCTCCCTCCAAATACTGTCCTCATCAACTCCGATGCCGTCAGATCCTGCACCAGAGAGAATGATCGAAGTTATATCAACAAGTGCCTCGTCAATACTGACGCTCTGTACAACTCCTCCAATTTCTAAAATTGACTCGTAGAAAAGACGACTTGCTTCTTCGTAAGCAGGAAAATCATATGGGAGAACTTTGATATCGGGGCAAAGCTCAAGTGCTTTCTTCATCCACATGCCGTTTTTAACCCCAAATTTACGGGCAACATAATTGCAACTTGCAATCTCTGAGGCAGTGCCACTGCTGTGGGCCACTACAGTCGGCTTATCGACGTATTCCGGATTGCGTTTCAAGGAAACCGCGCAAAAGAAACTATCAAAGTCGACATGGATTATATACCGTCGTGATCCTGGCTTTCTTTTCATGGCTTTGGAAGAAGGCCCCTTTTCTTTTGCGAGTCTCTGCATCTTTGATTTCAACTCTGCTTTCCATGTCGATAAGTGATGGAGGCGACTTTCCGAGTAGAACTGCTTCAAAAAGTCCGGATTTGCCGTTGAAGACTTCCAGATTTTCGGATCCGAGAGTAACCAGGCGTTGTGTTCTTCAGAAGTCATGTTTGCCGGCATCTTGCTTTCTTCCTTCGGCTCTTCGACAGCAACCGGCACAAGTTTGCTCTCGGTCTGCTCATACTTCGGCTGCTCATTCTTGGAAGCAGTGGCCTCAAGTGGGAGAATATCGACCATCAAGTCATCGATTTCGTTGTCATCGAACTCTTCCACTTCGTCCTTTTTCTTGAATTTCGGAACATTTGGACGTGGTGACTCTCTAGGGTTGTCAGAGCTATGATCATGTTTGCGAGCCAGTGGCGATTCAGCACGCTCTACAAATTTACTCAAGGACGGTGTGGCTGGACTGCCGGCGGATGCTTTGAATTGGCTCGTGTAGAAGCTGTTGTCCGTCTGCTCCCTGTACCCTTTTCTGGACTGAGGTGTTGCTTGGCTCAGCTTGTTGGACTCATCGAATTTCAGAACCTTCTGCCGAGGTCCATCGTTGTCTACTCGGTAGTCCGACCACGGTAGTAATCTTCCGGCTTCAATGGAGTCGACAACCCAGGCTGGTTTCACTAATCGATACTTGCTGTAGTCCACAGACTTTTTCGGCGGAACGGAAGACGCAATAATATGCGTCGCCATTGTCTTTGAGTCCAGGTACTGCAAGAAGCCAGCCCCATGTTGAACAAGCTCACGATGCAGACTGTGAGATCGCAGTCAGTTACGAACGTCAGGATACTAGAGGTGAGAACCCACATGTGGAGAGGCGGTTGTGTGTAGCCCGTGACATGTGCAACCACGCCCTTGAAGATTTGAGGCTTGTCGGTTGAAGAAGCCTTCAGTTCAGCATCAAGGTTTTGGAGCTTGATCTTCTTCCGCCGGAAGTAGTCGCCAAAACCACCAAAAGCGCTTGGCTCATATTCCTCGCCCGTTTCATCAGCGAACTCGTGATTTTCGATTCGCTTCCTCACTTGCGAGGAGTTTTTATCGAGACGGCTCCCCATCTTCGTCAGGAGTCACAGAACTATTGTGAAATGGTAGGTGTTGAACGCCAGTATAATTGAAGTGAGTCCCAACACTAGCGTTCCGACAGATTTCTCACGCAAAACCCAATCCAAACTGAAAATCGCGTGATATCGAACATCTTTAACAGAAAGAGAGATCTGCGCTCATCGTCAGCCTGTAGGTGAACCGATGGTAGATGGTTTAGGCGCGGTTGATGATGGACGGCTGCGACGGAGCCCCCATTGCTTCTCAATGCCGATGACCGCGTAAAGTGAAGTGGGGCAGTCGCGCGTTCGACACGCGTGTCACGTGATAGGCACCCATGACTAACCGAAAGTTTTGGAAGGTTTCGGAGTTAAGGCGCCTGCGACTTACATGGTCGACAGTTCCAGCGCATGTTGAAATAGATCCCCGGACTTCATTTCATCGAGAAAGCGTGACCATGAATAACGAGCAGTTTCGGAAGCTCTTAGGCGCGAACTCATCTAAGCCAACATCTTCAAGCAATGGGCCATCTCCGAGCAGCGCCACTCCGTGTGGCGCTGGGGCGCTAGGCTCGCGGCAACGATCAAGCATCCCTATGACTCCGTAAGACCTCTTGTTCTCGGCCTTCGTATCTAGACTAACGTGTTTTCAGCCGGTCTGTTGGTGCTGGGAGTAATCGATCCGAGTTTGCCCGGCAGCTTGCTGCGCGAAACCAAGCAACTCAGCCGAAAAAGCAGTTCCATTCGTCAGCTCCCAAAGGATCTAGACTTGCTGAAGGTTACGTGGACCGATCAAAAGAACGGAACGACGAGGAAGAAGATGATCGTGCGAAAAGGATACAAGCTCTAGAGGAGGCATTCAAGAAGGAGGAGATCGACCAGGCGACGTTCGAGAAGCTGCGCAGCGAGATTGCTGGAGGTGACCTTTCCAGCACGCATCTAATCAAAGGATTGGACTTTAAGCTTTTAGAGAGGATACGAAAAGGAGAAAACGTATGGGACAACAAGACAAGCACGAGTGAGGATGTGCCGCCAGAAGAGGACGTAGATGAGGCGTTTGATGAGATGGAGGAAGCAGAAGTAAAGGGTGTTGAGAAAGAAAGGGTCAAGAAGAAGGGACAGATGGCGCCCGTAGGGCTTGTCCCAGGGAAAAAGAGGACGAGAGATCAGATATTGGCAGAGCTCAAGGCGGCGAGAGCGGCCGCCGCAAAAGCCCAGCAAGAAGCCAGTCTCGGAGACAAGTTTAGGAAGATTGGAGCGAAGCAAAAACCTGGCACCCGCATTGAGCGAGACAGCAAGGGCCGAGAGGTTCTTATTATAGTGGACGAGGACGGTCATGAGAAAAGGAAAATTCGCAAGGTGCAACCAGGCGCCGAAGAGGAGCAGCGCAAAGAGTTCATTCCGGATAAGGACGCAAAGCCGCTTGGTATGGAGGTACCCGAGTTTTACAGAAAGCAGCAGGAGGAGGAGGCTGAGGATGACAACGATGACATATTTGCCGACGCAGGAGACGATTACGACCCACTTGCCGGCATGGATAGTAGCTCTGACGAAGACGACGAAGGCGAAGTGAAGGACGAGAAGGCTGTGACGGAAACCGACAAGTCAGAGCTTGCACCCGATTCTACATCAATGCCACCACCTCCGAAACCAGCCGCACCACGCAACTATTTCAAAGACTCCAAGACGGAGCTTATTTCTTCGCAAACTCTCAAAGCACCCTCAATGGAAGACCCTGCAATCATGGCAGCATTCAAGAAGGCCGCCCAACTCAGAGCAGCAAATAAGGCTATGGAAGATGGCGATGATGAAGATGATGAAGAGGCTAAGGCCCGGGCAGCCCGTCACAAGAAGATGTTGCAGTCCGTTGACCGAGACGCTGAAGATCTGGATATGGGCTTCGGAACCAGCAGGTTTGAAGACGAGGCGGACTTTGATGACCAGCCAATAAAGTTGTCACAATGGGGTAACGAAGATGATGAAGATGATGGCCGCAGTGGCAAGTCGAAGCGGAAAAGAGGCCCCAAGAAGAGAAAGGGTGACGGCAATAACGCAGCAGATGTGCTCAGAATTATGGAACAGCGCAAAGCAGCAGACAAGGCCTGAGGAGAGAAGGCATACAAGTGAAGCCTACTAGAAGCGCAGCTGCCTTATCATATCATGGTAGGCATTGAGCCTGCAGTATTGACAGAACATCCCGGGGTCTATCCGCCGTTTTCTTGTCGGCTTGGGTTTCAGCCAGCCCTGTCGGAGGTCACAATTAATCACTCCAAGGCAACGACTAAAAGTAGTGCATCCTTCGATCCATCTGCAGCTGTGGATAGATGGATCAGGGGTATCGCAGATATTTGCAGCTTATAATTCGTGTTGCCACTGTTGCCACGCCGCGGAATCTGGTTCAGCTTCCACTAAGTTTGCCTGGAGCTTCCAGCGTTAACACATAAAGTCAATATAGTCGGGCGACATCACAGGTATGACGTTGGAGATATCAGAGTTCGATGACTCAGCTGTCGGCAAACTTGCGAGACCCGGCAAACACGGAAGTGTTTTCGGTGATGGTCGTTGGTCTGCTGGACCTTCCGAAACGGGCGCTGGTCGGATGGACCTTGAGTGATCGGAGGGCACCGCCGCCTCGTTTATCCAAGACCGCCCAACTCCGCCCCAGCGTTTTTCTCTGAGGTAATCACTCGTGGGGTCGACAAGATCTCGGCACCCAGAGCCCAGATACCATCGATAGGGTTTCGTCTAATAATAATCAAATAAAACACCGCAGACATCATTATCATGTGATGGGATTGGTCTAATTTCTCATTTGGGCACCACCGCCCAGGCGCACATCCTGTCACTTTGGTCGTGGTACCTGACCAGAGCCAACGGCTCCCCCGCCCTTGGTCTCAGTAGCCCCAGAGGGGCCCCGTGCCTATTTGGTTGGTCTTATCCACCGCGAGTGGGAACGCCCAAGTGTTCACTAAAAGCGCACGGCGACAAAGTCCGTGGCTGTTTACCTACCGAGGACAACCCTCACACACCTGATTGTTATTATCTCTGTCCCACGTCCTGTGTGACTCGTTGCAACCCATTATTCTCAATTTTGACTTATTTTATTTTTTTGATATAGTTTATTTCACTTGCTACCATGGTCGACCTTGATTTGCCGGAAACCCCAGTCCCCGTCTGGCTAGACTGTGACCCTGGCCACGATGTAAGTTGTAGTCGTTCCATGTGTGAGGGTTCAGCCACGAATTTGCACGCCTCGAGAGACTCTCATTCATTCACTCGGGGAGTCGCATGCCCAATCATGCACGACACTGCATCTTGCAACCACACAAGCCTCTTCGAGAACAACTCGATACTGACCCTTTCCGACAGGATACTTTCGCAATTCTCCTAGCTGCCTATCACCCCACAATCAAGTTGTTGGGCGTCTCAACTGTTTTCGGAAATGCTCCCCTTGAGTAAGTGATGCGTTTCACGGCAAATTACAGCACACAATAGGCACCTTTTTGCTAAAACAAAGCGCAGAAAAACAACTGCCAACGCCTCCTCCATTCTTACAGCAATTGGCAAGCACAATGACGTTCCCGTCTATGTCGGCGCCGCCAAGCCCATGGCGCGCCCTCCAATGCAGGCAGCCACCGACATTCACGGAGAATCTGGCCTCGACGGCACCGACCTGCTTCCGCAACCGTTGAAGGAGGCGGACCGCACTACCCCGGCCGTTGACGCCATGGCCGCTGCCCTCTCCGCCCAGGCTCCGGGCACCGCCTGGCTCGTCGCTACGGGGTCCCTGACCAACGTCGCACAGCTCTTCCAGAAACGCCCTGAGCTGGTGTCCCATATCAAGGGACTGAGCATCATGGGCGGCGCCATCGGCGATGGCTTCACCGACATCGTCATGGGCAAGGTCGACGGCGTCGCGCGCGTCGGTAACTGGACGCCCTGGGCCGAGTTCAACATCATCATCGACCCCGAGGCTGCTGCCAGTGTCTTCCACAACAAGGCCCTCGCCGCCAAGACGACGCTTGTGCCGCTTGATTTGTCGCATCAGGTTCTTGCCACAGAGGAGGTGAGGGACCTGCTCCTCTACGGTAAGAACGGTGGTGAGAAGACGGGCAGAGGCAAGACGACGCTGCGGCAAATGCTTGTTGAGCTTCTCATGTTCTTTGCCAAAACATACAGGTATACATCTTTCCCATCACAGGAAAACGAGAAACTTTGCCGGGCAGACCACTAACACGGATGATTAGTGACGTCTTTGGCATCACCGCCGGCCCGCCCCTTCACGACCCTCTGGCCGTGGCCGCCGTGCTCACGGGTACCAAGCATGAGATCCCCTTTTACGACTTTGACGCCAAGAAGGGTAAGTGCGTGAAATACCACGAGCGCTTCGAGTTGACCGTCATCACGGAGGGCTCGCTCGAGGAGGCCAAGGAGGGTAAGGCACAGCTTGGCCGGACAGTCGCCAAGTTGCTGGAGCCGGGTAGCGAGGGTGTGAGGATACCCCGCGGCCTCGACATTCCCATGTTCTGGAAGGTTATCGAGGAGTGCACGGAGAGGGCGGACCGGGTCAATGCTGGTGAGGTGACGGGGTTGAAGGAGAATGGCACTCTGGAGAACTGAAAAGTCACCGTAGGAAAAAGACAAAGAAAATAAATAAATAAAAAAGTGGTGCATGGCGGGTTCCGCGCGTGTTTGCTGATTAGGTTGGTTCTTGCCCAAGCGGGTCTGTGTTTTTTTATATCGATAGACCACCGTCGTAATAATCCATTCAGAGTTCAAATCCCGACAGCAGCTGATGTGCCAAATAAATCCGAGACGGTGGATGACAGACCTACGGGTATCAGAAATCTAGGGGTAGAAAGAAGCGTGCGTGATGTTCAAGTTTGTATTACGTATAAATACATGTCATGAAGAGCTCGCAGTAGCTTCTTTCATGGCTTTACTCTATTAACGAATCCGTATTTCACTGTTAGTGCCACTGTTCTCTACCGTGGGGTATCTATCACCTCTCCCGTCTATGTCCAATTTTCATGTTTTATTCAGAAACGCTTTTCGTCAGTATTATCGAGTCTCATCAAAAACCTCAACATTCTCTCATACGTCCAAACTGTGACAGCACTTCCCGGTGCGGCTTTGATAAGACTAACTGTCAAACCACGGTATAACCCTCGGATACCCTCACTCAAGAAGATCATCCGCAGAGCCCGCACCGCCCCAGGATACTCGGGAATGTTTTTATGCACATACCGAGCTCTCGTGGGGCCCTGGACTTGTATACGTTTCCGGACCAGATCGAGGGGGAAAACAGCCGTTTTGGACAGCACACTCGCTATCACACCTGCAGTGGCATCACCACCACCCCAGGGGAGATGCAAGTCCCCGAGTGGCAGGCGCAGTCCCTCGTACGTGGCGAAGAAGATACCCATGTACGGCACAATCTGCGCCACACCGGGTCCGAGCCCACGGAAGAAGCCGCGAAGACCTTCGTCTCGGTAGATATCGGTGACGGCGTGCCGAAGACTAGTATACACTGGCTCGTTCCCTTGCGCCGCGAAACGAGTCCGTAGCAGATCGAGGGGGTATGTGGCCGTTGTAGCCGCAGCCCCGGCGGCAGCTCCGGCAACAAAAGACTCAGCGGCATGTGGTAGCCGGTTATCGAAGGTCACCTGTAATAGCTGGGCTGTCGAGCGGTAGGTGGTGAATTGGACTGCCGAGTAGCAGACATACATCAACTCCGCAGGGATATTGCCTTTCCATAGCCCTGTGATGCCCTCGTTTGCAAGAATGTGCTTCAAGGTACCCAGTGTGCCCTTGTACACGGGCCCGCCCCTGGCGGACTGGATCGACAGAGGGTCGGAGAGCGAGTGTGTTTGCAATTGGAGGCGGATCTTGACGACATCGAGGGGGGCGATTACAAAGCTGTTCCAAGAACACAGAACCAAGTCAGCGTTGAGTCACGATTTGACTTTCTGGCAGGTGTAGGATCTCGCATACCGTGCAAAAAGGCCGGCGGTGGCGCCGGCCGTTACGACCTGCAGGCGGGAGCCCTAGGCGGACAGTGTGTAAGCATCGTGACGTGTCGGAATTTGCGAACGACGACAACTCTGTGGAAGAAACCGTCCATCAGGTGCTCTGTCTTACCTCATCCTTGAGGCGTTCGCCGCTGGGCGACATGCATCCGGCTGTGTCCTCGTGGGGACCTGTGTAGAAACCGTAGGGAAAGAGCGAGATCGGCAGCGAAAGGCGCTCGTCGGTGTTGAGCGAGTTGGTTTCGGGACCGGAGGGTGAGGTTTATCAAGGTCAGATGAGTTGCGTCTGTGGGTGTTCGTCCAAGCGGAGCGGTCCGAGATCCCTCGACAAGACGACCGCCTTGCCGCGACTTCGATTGGCGTGGCAATTGGGATTTAAGACTTTGGCGACTGAGGCTGAGGGTCTCAATTAATCAGAGGCGTGTTTGAGGATCTTTCCGAAATGGCTAAAAACCAAACAATGTCGAGGTCTGTTCTTTTTCTTCTTTTCGGTTCCGCGTTGGCTTTGCCTGGTCAAATTTGACGTAAGTTTTTCCGCATCTGCTTGTTGCTCGCGTGGGGATTTTTTTCTGGTTACCTAAGTGAGATAGCTCCCGTCCACACGCTTAGCACTCCAAGCATCGTGACGCAACTATGCTTTGGTAGCGTGCTGTCAGGGAGAATTTCCTACAGCAGCTTGGGGGGAGATAGCGCGTGTTGGAGACCCACTGTGGGCGTCACTGTAGCAGGGGCACCTGCCTTATCCAAGCAAATTGAGTGGGCATAGCCACGCAGGGTCTGGTCCCTTTCACCCGTGCGGGCCACACTGAGTGAGATCAGAGACGCAGAGCAGATGCGATGCAGATGCAAGTCTTGTTTGAACTGGCAGAGAGACGAGATGGGGCTGGGCAGCTCACGGGACCCATTGCGAGACTGGCGGTATCGAGAAGAGTCTCGATTTCATCAGAGGTCTGAGTCTGTAATGTTTGTTTGTTTACTTTTTTGTTTTGTTTTGCTATTCTGCATCTCGTGACTGTTGTAAGTCTTGTGATGAGCTTCCACTGACGACAGAAGAGTAGGAGTTGGAACAGATGGGAAAGGGAACGCCTCAGTCAGGAGTTGCCAGAAAAGGAAGTTGTGGTAAGTGGGAAAAAGGAAAGACGTCAATAGGGAGTCAAAGACCAGACTATTGGTGGTGGCACGTTTGGATTTTGGAAGACTATCATTATTTGGTCATGGAAGCGTCCTGACAAATGTCTTTGTCTCATTAATGCTCGGCCATTCACTGTTTCGAAGGATGAGAGACCAGCAACATGGAATACCAAACATGTTTAGCCTGGAGGCGCTAGGGTGTGCGTTTGGCATGACACAATGAACGGCAACTTCCAGCATGGCCACGATGGTGGCTGAGAAAGGAACCTTGTCCCGGAAATGGACATTGGGTTGAGATGAAATTGGAGAGAGAGAGAGGGAGGACTTTTGAAGCAGGTGGCAGCTTCACCCGGATTCCGGGCTCCAATAACACGTGCCAAAGTCGTTGCAGTTGAGCGGGCATTGCAATTCGCTGATTGTTAGTGGTTCCCTCCGTCCGAGACGGCTCCCCTGGGCGGAGTCGTAACAGCCTTTGAGGAGCCTCCGCATTGGCTAGAACCGGCTGGCTTGGCGTCCTGGCCGCCCTTGCCCCCCTCATTGTGGGGTCGTAGTGCTGGAGCAGCCCCCCGACCGAACTCGCGACCAGCGGGAAAACCAAGCCCAGCCCTGGATGGGGGAAGAGCCTACGAGCATGGGACGCTGACTCCCGTCTGCGCGACTGTTTAACTTGACCGAGTTAGACTTTTGGTCTCCTCCTCTTCCCTTTCCTTTATTATACTCGCATCTCTCCCGTTGTCGTCAGGGAGATACCTTTCATCTTCCTCTTTCAATCTCTTTCCAATTTTCCGGACGAGAATCCCCTGACCAAACCTACTAAGGCAGAGATTTCGAGTCAGACAGGCCAGCGAGACATCCATCTATCCTTAGCAGTGGCTGCATGTGATATCGTCACCAACTCCTAGTCGTCTGCACTACCACCACCACTACCGTCCCTGTGACTAGGCCACCGCCCTTTGCCTCACATATATCCTACGTTACCCCCCAGAGGAGGAGTTGTGTAGGAACCGCAACCACCACCCATCTACCACAACACACAATCATCATGACTTCAACAACATCACCACCCATGCCAAACATCGGCGGCCTGCTAGCCCCCATTCTGCCTGCCCTTCCCCCCGCCTCTATTTCCACACAGCCAGCAATCGGTGTTTTGCCGTTGCTGAGCCCAATCTTGAGGCAAAGGGTACAGCTTCTTTCTGAGTCCAGCACCGAGCCCTGGATTCGCCTGCTCGCCTACGACACGGACAAAGCCGCGCGACTGAACGAGATTGTTCAGAGCGGTCGGCTAGAGCCGCATCCCGTATCGGGCGAGGTTGAGGTTGATTGGGAGTACGATGCGAAAACCAAGTACCGTCGTCTCGACTTGGAGACGCTGCAGGCGCTGGTCGTGCTCGAAGAGCTCGAGTTGACATTCCGGCTGATTTATTGCGTCGGCGACAAGGACGGCGGCGGTGACGGCTGGAGAGTGGGTGAAGTCAGCGTTTCTGACAAGACATCTCCTTTCGGCGACTTTGGTGGATACTCGACCATCGCTGAGGCTGAGAAGGCGTACGCGGACTCGAAGGTCTCGAAGACGGCGGCCGCAAATGCGCCGACCGCCAGCTATGGCCAGGATGCTGGCGAGGCAGACGAGGATGAGGACGATGGCTACTGGGACCGATACGACGCTACTCCTGCTCGCACGCCCGCCAACGAATCACCAGCAGTTAAACGGTCTCCTGCACCGCACGTAGCACAGGCATCGCAGCTCGGCGCCTTCCGTACAGACTCAGCGGAAGATGCATACTATGCACAGTATGATTCAGTACAACCGGCGATGGATGCTCACGATCCTGATGAAGAGGTAGAGGGTTTTGAAGTCGCCCCGCCCTTGGGCCTGGGTACAGTCGTTAGCCAAGACATTTCGGAGCCGGGCTTTACCGAGACAAACGGCTCCTGGACAATGGCCGAGCCGCCGCGTTCGCCCTCGATCCACAGTCAAGACGAGGACCGGGCGGCAGTACTTCTCCACCCGCGCCCGGCCTCGAGTGCCAGCAGCAACGGAAGCCGCATGATTGAGAAGCTTGAGGAGACTGCTGGCAAGCAGGAGGCGAACGAGTTTGGCGTGAAGCAGCACGTCTCTAGGAGCATCCACAATCTGTTCCTACTAGCGCGCTCGTCTGGTATTGACAGAGAAGAATTTGAGCGTCTGGTGAAGACCGAGTTGGACGTTCTCGGTATGATCGAGGACAACGAGGCTTGATTTTTTTAAGACTGGCAGCTTTTGTATATAAAGGAGTTCTTGTGCTTGGTGGTGTTCCGTGGGGATATCCGTTGGGTCAGGATGATCATTCCGCATGGGTCGGCTGCATGTAAGGGCGTTAAATTCTTGGCTATATTGCATCAATTCTGAAAGCGCAACTTTGAAATATCAATTGCTCCGATGAACGATGAAAGGGGATTTGTGAAGTAAAGATAGCATCCTGCTGGATATTGAGCAATGTGGTCGTCCAAGAGCTCAACAGTTTAGGTGAGTTAGTGAGGCAGACCAGCACAGGTTGTTAGTCCGAGACTCGACTGGCATAATGAATTATCAATGATAAACAAAAAGGCAGTATGGGTTGTTACAAAGTAAAAACACAGGAAGCGTGAGGTATAGCTCGAGATAATCAACCACTCTGATTAGCATCAAGGAGATATGTTTCAGCAGCGAAATGTTGATGTTGGGAAAAATAGGTCGAGGTAACGGTTTATCATGCCTGCCCCAACTGTTGTGAACTTTGGACAGACCTCGGCCTCGGCACATATCATTCATCAGTCCGGCTAAGAGGGGTAAAATGAGGCGACAATTATCCGAGACCGTCCGATCTTGAACGCAGCAAGCGCGGGAGGCTCGAATGCCGAACATTGAATGACAGAATCCCTTCCCGTGCAGCTGCAACAGTAAATGTCCAGATCAGCCACCGGCTTAGCAGTCTTTGCGCAAAAACGTGTTGCGATCACCGTGCGACAGGGCGGTGCGTCAACTGATCGATTTTAAGCGCCCTACCTCTCGCGCAGCGGCTATACTGTCGCGGCTGCGGCAATCGGATAATTCACAAGCGCTGGGCTGATTAATAAGAAGATGGTTCTGTTAAACATTGTGACAATCACTTGAGTAAACAATATCATGACATGATCGGTAAACTAAGTTTACCGAGATCGATGGTTTGCTCGATGTTGGACGTCAGTATGGCTCACAACAGAATCATCCCATGGTTTGGCGTCATGAGGATGCGAATTCAAACCCAACAGCCGCATATTGCTGACATCTCATTCAGAGACTCTAATTATCTGAAAATGTGAGTGCAAATTAGCTCTAGCTGGGTTTATTCCTTGAGTTTATAAAGGCAAGTTGTAAGTCGCCGAGGTGAAGCCATCAAGAACGACCGATAGCTTGCCTGTGATTCGCCCACTCTCTCTAAAGTGGGTTGGATGGCCTAGCACACCCTCAAGCCTCAATTGTAAGGCTGCCACGCGCCAAAGCAGCAGCACCACACGAGCCAGCCAAAAAAAGTTCACCATCCAAAGCTCCTGGCATCCAGCTTCGGGAGTAGTGAAGGTCACCACGCGGCGGAACAGCTCACCACCACCTCAATTCGATCCCGTCCCACGCCACTCCCACACACATACCCACAATGTTCCGCGCAAGATTAAGGATACCGCGCATCAGCGTGGCCGCCCCCATGGTGCGCCAGCAACGCTCGTTGCATTACGTCCCCCAGCTCGCCCACGACTTCAGCCAGGGCGTTCCGGGCCTGCTCTCCGCCGACGGCTACGATATGGCCTGGACGCAGTATATGACGCTGATGTTGGACAAGCTCAATGCCCTGACAGCAGGTTGGTCTTGTCCTTTCTTTTCTTTCTTCACAGTACCGTGGCCATGCGACACACCAGAGCTCGCATGATGTGACAACTCCTGCCCATTGAACCCTTGAAAGCTAACTGATTCCCTCAGGAACCGACCTTGAGCAGCGCGACGTCAAGCAAATCCTCCTTGCCACCGCCCGCGACCCCGACCAGGCCCCCATCTTCAACCACGCCTCCATGGCGCACAACACCCATTTCTTCTTCAAGAACCTCACCCCGTCCCCGAAACCCATCCCCGAGGCCCTGGCCGCCGACTTGTCCCACTCCTTCTCCTCAATCGAGACCCTCCGTCGCGAGATGGTCTTGACCGCCTCCGCCATGTTCGGCCCCGGTTTCGTCTGGCTCGTCAAGGCCGGCCGCCAGGACTACCGCATCCTTACGACCTACCTCGCCGGCAGCCCCTACCCCGGAGCCCACTGGCGCCTGCAAAGCTCCGACATGAACACTGTCGGTCTCGGAGGTAGCGCGAACCAATTCTTCCAGCGCAATGCCGCTGCGCAGAGGACCGGCACCAAGCCCCCCGGTGCGCTGGACGCCGTTCCCCTGCTGTGCCTCAACACGTGGGAGCACACGTGGCTGCGCGACTACGGTCTCGGTGTTGGCGGCGTTGGCGGAAAGAAGGCCTTCGCCGAGGCGTGGTGGGAAGTGATTGACTGGGAGGCCGTCCTGAACGCGGCGGATATCCCTAACCGCCCCAGCTTCGTGCGGTAAGGGTGAAGAGCATGCAGGGGAGAGGGAGGGGTGTGATGTGAGGGGGGGCAGGAGAAAAAGAGCACAGCACCGCGGGATGAGAGAGGGATCTAATGATATGGATTTCCCAACCGCGTGCGTGCAATGACGGCGGTGGTGTAGGAATTGCAAAAAAGGAAATGTAAGAATAGAACGCTGCATATACAGATGGGCAAATGTACTATGTTGTACTACTTAGTTTCTCAACCAGCTCAGATCATGATTTCTGGTTTCTTGTCTACGGTGTAGTAGTGACTTGTGCTGCTATGTACGGGGGCAGAGAAGAGGTGATGTCGGGTTTAGCCTCTGGAACCAGATTAGGATTGTTTTCTAGAGACACTGTTTCAATTCACCCAGGTGTCTCGAGAGATATATTTCGGGGAGTTGTACGGGTGCGCTTTTTAATACACCCTTGAGCTTGTTCGCCCTTTGCCCCTACGTCTTTACTACCAAAAATGCCTCCCTGTTTATTGGGCGCTTACGGGAATATGGAAATGCCGTTTCGCTCATCTACTTAGTCACAAGAGGAGCCGGGACGTTGAAGACGCTTCTGCTTCTGCTTCTTGTCAGCATCAACTACCTTACCTATTCACAACCGCGGCGCTCGCACCGTCTTAAATCAGGTACAGGCCGTGTACCTCGAAGGTCGCATCTGATGTGCCTCAGCCGCCTGGCATCACGACGACTTCTTGGCTTGGTTTTGTAATGAGTTGAGTCGTTCTCACCAGGTACATGACGACTATCATGTGTTTCACTTCGACAATTGAGTTTCTTGTATTAGTGCGTGGACTGTATGCTTTACTTGCGGATAGATGCTGCGGTGGAAAGTCCAAAGGTAAGGCAGACCGGCCAAGTACCTGAACATGGAATCGTCGAGACCAGTAGAGCTTATTGATATTGCGAGAGCCGTACACTTTTTTTTTTTTCGTTGGAGTAAGCATGTAGGCTCTTTTGGAAGTAGTTATGTGGAGGACGATGAACAGGAAATGCGAATGGCCAGAAATATATATATAAAGAGCGAAGCCATCGGGGTCAAGAGGATATGGCAGCAAGGCACAGACATGGCAAAGTGTTTCTAGGTATGATTTCCGTAAATCATTGTCTCTGCGCCTTAAATCACCTTGACCTGCTTAACATGGTAGCTGTACCAGCTTTGCTTTCAAACCGAGCATAAGAGAGCTGTTTTCTATAGGGACAACATCATGTAATACATGAAGGAGAAACGAAGCAATTGCAGCGTTTAGCAGTATAGCATATATCTTACGCTACGAGATAAGCGCGTTCTTCGAAACCCCGAGGCGTCAATCACAGAAAACATTAAACGACTTTCTGGAGTTTATCCTTTAGTATGAAAACAGTTCATCATATTGTCTTCATGACTTCGTTTTCATGTCCAACGTTCTTCCGCTGGACTTCATCTTACGAAAGCCCCAGCTTCCGATATCCGTCTACCAGAGAATGAATGCCGCGTAAGTCACGTGTCAAGAACACCATCATGATAAAGCTCAAGCGAATAGTTTCCGTCCCAATTGACAAAGGACGACAGCATGGGTAGAGGCAGTAGTTCATTCTTTACACATGGGCTTCAACGTCCTTATACACATGTCCATCACATCACTTCAGTTTGGTGTAATTCAGTATTCATAATCAGATCCAGGCCACTCAACGAGCCCTCTCGGATCCCCTTCATTTTTAGAGCTATAAAGCTAGCTAGGTATCATAATAGCCATCCCTAAACCTGACATAATCAAAGGAGCGTCTTTTCGTTTTGCGTGCGTGTGCGTGACATGGTGTGGTTGGTTGTTTATGCGATGAGATGAGAGAGTTATAAGGAGAGGAAACAGTTGAAAAAAAAAAAAAAAAAGATTAAGCCAATAGCCAAATCCCCGTTCCTATCCTTTCCCTCCCCCCCGTATTTTTGTTTTTCGTCCAAAAATTCATCGTCAACCCGGCGTCAGGTAAAGGGGGGAGGAGAATCTGAGCAAGGATATAACAAATGCCGCTATCCAGAACTATGCAACGCAATGAAAGGTGATGAAAACAAATGAGTGCAGAAACATGAAAATAGGTATCCTTTTTCGCCGCCATGGACCCAGGTCCTGGGGCGTAGTGCGCGCTTGCTTTCTTTTGAAATACAGACGCGGGTCATTACCATAACATTTGAATCGAACTTTTTTTTTTTGGTCATCTTTTTTCTTGTCTTTTGGTACTTTCCGACTTGGTTTTTGCCTCCGAAAAGATTAATGTATGAGAAATCGTGGAAGAAGAACAGACAAATGCAGAAGCACCGAGCGATCGAGACGGGTTTAGATCATGTTGCCGTTGACACTAACCTCAAATCCTTCGCCCTTCTGCCTCATCGCCTTGGCGAGCATGAGTTCACGCATCCAGTCGATGCGGTCATCACGGTTCTTGACGGCGAAGTGATGCGTCTTGCCCGTGCCGTTGACACCCTCAACCGGCACGGAAGACGTGGAGGAGGAGTGGTGATGAGTAAAACTATGGAGCGCGCTCTCCCGCTTGCGCAGCTTGGCGGCATTCTTGTCCTGGGGAATGAGCTGGAAGCTGAAGGCGGCGACGGGATCGCTCTTCTCTCGCGAGTGCGACGAAAAGTGGACGGCCCTGAAAGCGGCCGAAAGCTTGCTCTGCGAAGCTAGGCTGGAGCACGCAATGGCATAGTCGTCAATGTCAACGTACTCGAGCGTGCGATCAACGGTTCGCGCATCCTTGTGAACGGCTAGACGAGTGCCCTTGAGGGTACAAAAGGTGTCATTCCACTCGTGTCGGAGCATCTTGGTCTTGCGCTTCTTCATAGGACCCTGGAAGGTGATACCGTCCTGCTGGGCTGCCTCAGCCGCCTGCTTGACGGGGATAGCACCAGCGAGGTGGGAAATGGGAGGAATGGCCTGCTCGAAGGGAGTGGTGCGCTCAATGGGCGACCAGGGATAGTTGACACGAGGAGGAGCTTGAAGAGGCTGGGTGCGCGTAGAAGAGCGAGGAGAACGGGGAGAAGAGTGTTTAGGGGAAGAACGAGCAATGGGGGTAGGGGCGTTCTCGTCCAAAGCTGGGAGGACAGGGAAGGAAGGGCGCCGAGCAGAAGCGCGGGACTGCGTGCGGGCTGGGGGCTGCTGCTTGGAAGTACCAGCACGATAGTTCATCTCGGGAGGGACGGACTGGGAGACATCGCGCGCTACACGGTCCATGGGAATCGCAGTAACGGGGACGTCCATCTCAGAGAAGGGAGTGCCAAAACGGTAGGGGTTGACGGGGCTTTGCAAGTCAGGCGACATGGCCTCAGCTCGGTCCATAACGTACGGCACAAAGCCTTGCTGCAATTGCTGAGGAGAGGTTTGGCGCTTCTCAGGCTGGGTGACGGGAGGGACCGTGGAGGCTCTGAGGGTGCTGGGACGAGGAGGTGCCTGCTTGCCTGGAATGGAAAGCTTGGGTAGCTTGCGAAGACCTTCAGGCTGAGGCTTCATCGTGGGGGCGCCCATCTCAAAGGGAGGTGTCGGCGGCACGGTATTGCTCTGGCGCTTCTGGAAGTCAAGGAACTGCCGTACGTTGTCCTGGGGGTCCCTTGCGGCGACATTTCGGAGTGTAGCCTCCTGAAGGTATTGCATTGGAGTGGCGTTACCGGGACCCAAGACATCAGAAGATGCAACGACCGACGGCACAGCGTCCGAGACAGGTCGGAGAATCTCTGTGGGATCGAGAGCTCTGGCAGTCTCGGGGTTTCCCGGGTTGCCAGTGATGACGAGAGTCTCCTTCTCCATGTCGACAAAGGGGTGCTCCTTTCTGAAAGCCTCGATAAGACGCTGTTGCTTCTTGAAACGGGAGCAGTTCTCTCCTTTAGGGCAGTGATGCGGCTTAGGAACAACCTGCTCGATGCCTACAATGGACACCGACTCCATAGGGGTGATTATGTCGTCGTGAGATGACTTCTTCGGTCGTCTCCTGCTGCTCTTTCTTCGCTTTAAGCTGCAGTCATCCGTCTGGCGTTCAGTAGATCTCATCTCACGAGCCTCCTTCTTGACCTCGCGACTCGGTTCGTCTTGAATAGGCGTGGGAGCACGCGGGGAGCTTGGCCTGCTGTCGCGGAGAAGCTGAATCTGGTTCCAAACCCGCGTCCTCATGCCAAAAGACGGAATGTCCAACTCCTTCAAATCCTCAAACTTGAGGGTAATCAAGATGGGCCCGTTAATGTCGTTCTCCACGAAGCGGCCTGCGACCGAAAGCTCAATGCCAGCATTAAGCATCGATTGCGCTACCATTTCCGGTGTCCACGAGACAAGCTCTCTTGATTGAAAGTCTTCGTAGGTGAACTGGAAGGGGCCATTCTGCTGTCTAGGGACTGGTGGCGGTGGCAGCTTTGTGAATCTGAACGCATCGTCGAACGGCCGCGCTGTCTTTGGCGTGATTGGCGACAAAGTCAGGATGCTCTCATCAAAGTAGCTCTCCGACGAGGAACGGAACAGATGCGGACCTGTAGGTCCTTCAATGGGTTTCATCGGCAACTGCATCTCGGTGTACATCACACGGTCTTGACTCGACCTCGGTGTTGGCACCTCATCGTAAGACGAGAGGGTTGTGATACTGGGCTGGCCGCCAGACTGCGCGCTCATCAGCAGCTGCAACAGGATTAGTTAAGCGGCGTCGATACTCACAGAATTAACGCTTATACGCGGTGAGTTGTCTTCAAGCTCACTGAGCACCTCATCATCCCATTCCATGTCCATGAACTCGGTTGCTACTGAGCTGGGTCTTTGCGGCTCGCTCTTGAGGCCGAAGAAGGTGTCGCGCATAGTAGCCTTCTCGCGCATCTCATGATGGAGGCGACGTCCACTTCTGACATATTCTTGCGCGTACTCCTGTTTTAAAAAGGTCAAAATCGCATTGATGAAGACAACACCACATTAGCTTACCATTGTGTATGGTGTGTGTGTGTAAGTGGTCTCTCGAATGCGGAAAGTGGGGAACACAACGAGGCTTGAGCTGGCTGTAACCGGCTTGCGGTCTACAGCGCAGTGCAGCCTCCGTCGGGGGAGTGTATTGCTTTTCCAACCGAGTAAGTGATTGGAACCAGTGCCGTCGCCGGCAAAACTTCTGTTCTAGGGGATATCCTGTTGATGAAGCCTCGAGATATTGGGAAGGCACACAGAGCAATACTGGGGACGCTTCGGATAGGAAAGCAAATGCAGTGGACAAAAAGGAAAATCAAACCAAATCAGAGCTGGATATGCTCGAATGGTACGCAACGGGTCGCAAAAGAGAAGAAGGAGGGGATCCGGTACAAGACGGGCGCCTACGGCGAGTTATGTATGTGTAATGTGTCCATGTATGGAGAAGGGGGGGTCGGTAGGGGTGTTGATGGGCGGTAACTGGTAACTAGGGGGGAAAAGAATAAGAGGAGAAAGATCCATGGTGGTTGAGGTTGGATCACACAGCACGTATGGGTAGCGCAACGCAACGCACGCACAGCAATCCCTATCCCATGCCCCATCCCCTCTTCCTGCCCCCCATGCCCATCCTATATGCATGCTGGTTCTGGTGTGATTCGACCCGTGGCACTTTGCTCACGGCGCCGACAGTGACACTCTCAACAGACTAGGTAGCGTATAATAATAGCGCCCAGTGGTGCGTGGATGGGTGGTCGAACGGGTGACGGACCTAGCGATGGACCCCATGGACCACGAAGCAACCAAGGGGTGAGGGGGGGGGCCGTTTGTGGCTGGGCGACGAGGCCAGTGGGATATACACCTTGGGTGAGAGACATGTACGCAAAGGAGGATGGAAAAAGCTCCAGACCTGGTTCCCCGACCAAGGGGGGTGTGAACCGGACAGCTTCCATGTGGACGAAGGTACACAAGCGAGCAGCAAGCACTTGCACTTGCAGTGAAGCAACACGCATCAGCAACCACCATGCCATGCCATGCCATGCCATGCCATGTTCATGCTCCCGAGCACAGTTCAGCACATATGGCGCAGGCACAACGCAACACAGTAGAACCCGACTGGGCAGGAATAACAGGAATGAGCCGGCCGGCGTGGGGGAAAGATGGTGCAGGAGGTGCACAGTCTGTGAAGCATGTTCACAGAGCAAATGTTGAATGAAGAGCAACAGAACAGATTCGATGCGATGGAGGTAGGGATGAGGGTTCAAGATGGGCGCGAAGCTCAACCGTATCTCGTCACTGATTGGATTAGGGAAGGGAAAAAAAGCCCTCCCGTGCATAACGTAGCCGACGGAGAGTACAGTGAGGCGGCGACAGCTGAGCTTCCCATTGGTTTAAAATCACGTCGTGCGACTTTATTTTAAGGAACGCTAACACGCCATTGGCTGATAATCAGAACGCCTAGACCCAGCTACGGCGGGATGTAAGCGCCCGTCTCTCTGTCGAGTCTGCCGGCGGCGGCCAGTCGCTGATGCTTGACGTCTGAATTAAAGTGGGACCCTATGCTTTCCCTCCTTCCTCCCGCCCGCCGTCAACGGAGCACAGAGAGGGAAAAGGGAAACTAGTATAAACGGAAAGGAGGGGTCGGCCGGTGTGGGTCACTTGGTCCCATCACGCTAAACTCGGCTCGCTCATTTCACACCTCTACTTTCTTCTTCTCGCACACACCCCCCCTTTTTACAATGCTTGCATTCCTCTTCCTCCTCGTCATCCCCGTCTTTGCCCGCAACGTCTGCACACACACTCGATTCGCGCCCTCGCTCACTCACTCACACTCTTTCTCTCTCTCTTTCCCTCTCTCTCTCTCTCGCTATCTACAATGCTACCCTTTTCAATCCGTTGCAGCCCAAACATATCGAGTCAAAATCTACAGTCCCTGTCCATCACCTGCAAGGAAACACTGACAAGGGCCAGGGGCAGGATGAACTTCCCCGGCACACACACTTTTGGCGACCTCGCCGCAATCCCCCAGCTATGAAGCAGCAAGAAACAGTTGCTTACCCGCCCTCCCGCTCGCCATCCATTACCTAGTGCCTCTGCAGGGCTCCCTTTTGGTGATTGCAGAACCACCATCGTCGCCCACTGTCTCCCGCTAGCGGGACCTGTCACTGTCTCCATTATTCCCACCATCACAGTCTTTCATCTTATCAAGTCTTCTTCCCCAGATGAAGCTGGCGCACAGCCTTTGCATCTTGATACCTCAAACGGTATGGCATGGCATGTGGAGCAGATAAATACGCCAAACCATACCTTATTATGCCGTGCCATTCCGCAATGGTAATGGCTTCAAGCGAGCCATCTCCGCAACGGCGCCGAGCTTCTCTTTCAACGTGAACATTTCCTCGCCCCTCACCAAAAAAGGAAAAGAAAAAGGCGTCGATATGACTGGGATCTTTGCATCTCTTGCACCGTTTTTCATTTTCTTATTGCGCATCCCGGAAAGGCGGGAGCAATCAGAGACAACCGGCCATTCGCTTGCTGGCCATCCATTGACCAAAAAGCTAAAAAAGAAAGCACACAGCCCCGGCCTCTAACCTCTATCTAACGTTGTATCCTATGTCTCTCTACAGCCACCAAGACCTCCGATCTCGACCAGTCTCGAATACCCATGGCCAATGACCCGGATACCCCACCATCATCAACTGACTCCCCCCTTCACCGTCCCTGTCAGCCACTCATTTTGCTCGTTGAGCCCCCATCGGAGAAAGTGCCATCAAACCCAGACTCCTTCCGGCCGGGGAGGACGAGACCAATGGCTTCTCAAAGATGGCCTTTCTCTTGAGATGGCCAAGGTGAGGCGAGGCGGACGCATAAAAAAAAAACCGACCCTTCCTTCCAGCGAGATGGGACGGTCCGGATCACAATGGATCCAGTCAAAGAGGGTAAATATTCGTGCCGATTGTAGGCCCGTTGTGCTTCTTTGCCTTCTCCTCCACCTCCACCTAGCATGCAACTATCGGCGCTGCCGGTTCTACTAGCCTCACCCGCCTCGCCTTGTCCTCAGCTTGCTAATCAAATGTGCCTGTATTTGCTGCCCAATCGACCCCCGGCCGATAACGAGCAACGTGATCGGATGGATAAAGCCCAGAGCACATGACCTGCACGACTGGCTCACCGTCGTTGCTGGGGAGATTTGAACATGGTAAGAAGGTTCTCATCAGATCATTAAGTTACCTTGTCGCTGTTATCCACCACGTATGACTTCATATCCCACGGGGGTTTGCAGATGGCGGTCAAAATGTGACGAGAAGACATGGTTGATGCAGGAGCGCATTTGGCTCTTGCAGCCCGTATGCGTGCACCCGATGCAAGTTCACACAGCTTCGACGCAGTAGAACGATGTCTCCTGGCCTTGTTTGCTGAAAATGGATATCAGGTAAGCCATCTTGGAAGCAGAGACAGAAAGGGGTGGCTGGCGAAGAAGATTGAGTGGTTGATGAAGAAGGCGGCGATTGGGGGTCTCCAGACGATGGTACGACGAGAAATTCGGGGGAGCGCCCAGTTTCTTACCCCGCAGAGTCAGTTGAGACCAATCTACAGTCGCCGTCACGCTCTTCTTGTAGTGTGGGCGAATCAGGACCGAATGACATGCTCGTGGTGATATCTGATAGCAATGCCGTATCGGACTTCGTAGGATTTAGCTCTCACCATCGACCTGATCTCGACAGGATCTTGTATTGCGGAATCTGGTGAACCAATGTCCAGTTCGGGCAAACCGACCATTGTCAGATCACTTGCGAAGGATAGCTGTTGGGAAGGGGTTTTGGGGAAAAAAAAAAAAAAAAAGAGGCCTTGCTTTTCCGCTACAGCCATATCCAGTATCAGATCCTACCCAGCCCCTTTCGGCAGGCAATTGTCGATTTGCGCGACATATCTCTAGTTCTTGTGTGTCGTTGTCGGTGAAGCAGTCCGCATACTCCACATGTAAGGGAGCGAAAAATGCACTGCATGTCTTCCTAGAACTGCGCCAGAGGAGGTCGGTACAAGAGAATTTTTCTCCCCTCTGCCCCAGCTGACTCATTAACGGCTAAGGATGCTGTGAACGAGAACCCCGTCGTTGCGTTAGCAGTGTGACACTCTGCAGGGAAGCAAGCAGCACGCTCCCGCTAATGCGTCCCCATCTTCGATATCCATTCCAGGCGGCGTTCGATGCATTCTCCGAGACATAAGTAAACTGTGACAAGATCTGCGGGACAAACATTATGTGAACATCGGTGGTCTCGGTCTTCTTTCTTCACCGACTCTTCAAGTCGTCTGGCATGTTCATGAGAGAGTGACCTCATCCGAAAAACCGTCGCGAGCCAGGAAAGATGTGTCCGACGATGGCGCGAATGTCTCAACTAGGCCAGCCTGCGGTGTTTCACTCCGTTTAACGGCATCCAACGAAGTCTTGTCCGACCGTAACTGCGGTACCCAACCGAAGCAACCGACGACACAAGGTCCCAGGATCGTTAATAAATTAGTGAAAGAGTGAAATGGTGAAATGCCAATGGTTTGTGGAAACCCCGGCAATCGAGAAATGATTGTCGATTAATGCCCTCCGCTGCCGAGTCTACCCGGCGGGGATTCCAAAAAAAATGTGTGCAAGAATGGGCGAACTCACAAGGCAATTGGGCCAGGGTTTTCCGCTTTCAATTTCTGATCCTGGAGGAGGATCATTGAACATAGCCAACCCTGAGGAGGATTCAGCGCACAGTGCACACCCCCTCAGCCCATAATTGGACCAGGGGGTTGATGATGGCTGAAGTGGAGGATGGTGTGGTATCTTGGAGAGTTCCTCCTTGGGCGAATTAGTGTAGATTCGAGGCCGCTCCATCTTTGTTGGTGGGTGTTCGTGTAGGTGACGATGCCTCCCAGACATCGTTTCCAGTGCGCAGTTGTTGCCCTCCAATGAACTGGTCGAACAAGTCCTCACGCCCTCTCACATGATGACGGACTAATGCGAGCTTCGCGCCATCAGTAGTGGATGGATG